AGCTTGTGATGTCTAAAAAAAAAAAACATCAACCAAGGGCATAGAATTTGGTAGGGACATTCAGCATCTACTGAAGTGTCCCTAGCAATTATTTTGTCCGTCACTGTACATTGAAAAGCCAAAACATTATGACCCCTGACAGGTGAAGTGAATAACACTGATTATCTTGTTACCATGGCACCTGTCAGTGGGGGGCGCATTTTGGGCACAAGTTAACATTTTGTCCTCAGAGTTGATGTGTTAAAGCAGGAAAAATGGGCGAGTGCAAGGATTTGAGCGACGTTGAGCCAAAGGGCCAAATTGGGATGTCAGAGCATCTCCATAAAGTGGTGAACCGGTGACAGGGTCAAGGCTCATTGATGCACGTGGAGAGCTACTGTACGTCAAATTGCTGAAGATTTTAATGCTGGTTCTGATAGAAAAGTGTCAGAAAACTCATTGCATAGCTGTATGTTGCGAAGGGGCTGCGTAGCCGCAGACCAGTGAGGGTCCACTGCCGAATGTGCCTACAATGTGCAAGTCACATTTTCTGTTACATCACGTGGATGGCTGGGTGCAGTAACACTTGCACCAGATGCACTATGGGATGAAGGCAAGTGTGATGCCTTGGGCAATGTTCTGCTGGGAATCCTGCCATTTATGTGGATGTTACTTTGACATGTACCACCTACCTAAGCATTGTTGCAGGCTAATGCACCACGCCGTGAAGAAAAAAGTGGTTCAGGATCGGTTTGAGGAACACGAGTTCAGTGTGTTGCCTTTAGATTCTCCAGATCTTAATCCAATAGAGCGTCTGTGGGATGTACCATACTTACCGTAGTTGTCTTGTGCAGTGAAACATTAGCAACATTTCAGATGGGCTCACTGTTAGTTTTAGATTTTGTTGTTACAATGTTGCCATGTTCCTAAATCTCAGCAGTTGTTTTGGTGTGGTCAGTGATGTCCCTCAATGAAAAAAATAAATATCAAAACTACGAAAATAACGACTCAGGTTTCAATAAACAGGAACTATCCTTTAGGTCAGGGGTATTCAATTAGATTAGATTAGAAGAGGTCTAGTTAGAGAAAATTTCCTGAAGCAAAGGTCCGGAACATCAAAACGACGAACTTGCGTTATCATTCAGTACTATAACCTATAGTTGTATCAACACATGTTTTTAGTCAACAACGGACTGTCAAATCAAATAATATTTCAGTCAGTTTTCACATCAAACTGGAAGGATAATAAATAATAACTATTCAAATAATAAATTCAAAATTTAAGTCAACTAAATTAAAGTGCCTAATTTTTAGAAAAAATGTAATAAAAAGTGTAGCTTGAAGTGATGAAGTGCAGTCTTAACCAATTTTATAATAAACACTCAACACATCATAACAAATGAACAGCTGTAATGCCTCCTCTTCTCTTTCATTTCCTCTTACAGAGCTACCACTTTCCTACTTTCTGTTGTTCAGTGAGAAACGTGAGCTCCAGCTAGCATATTGGAGATCTATGAGATATTCTGGTTTTGAACTGCCCGTGGGAGGAATGTGCATGTAAAAATCTGTACATTCTTGATTAAAAGCCATGTGAAATCTCTTTTGTCTTTCGTCTCCTCAATTCGGGTGTGTTTCCAAAACGTCTCTGGTGAATCTCGCGGACTCGACTCGCACGCCTCGGTATGCACAGATTTGATTGGCTGAGCAGCGTCACATGAGACGATTGGAGCACATGCGATTGGTCTGTGAGTTTCCTGGTCCTCTAAACCAGTACAGTAAATGCTAGAGAAGCTGCGCGGGTTAAAATAGAAACGCTCCGTCACGAGGTAGTAAGTCTCAATAATAAATGGGCTGTAGGTCGGCGGTCCGGAGAGGACGGCGGCTGGGTCCGGATCCGGACCGCGGTCCGCCTATTAGTGACCTCTGCTTTAGGTTATGGTTAGATAAAGGCAGGGTTGGATAGGTTTGGGTTACATGTGGTTATGAAGATTTAAATTGGGTTAAGGAAATGCCAGATATATACCACTGACTGTTCTCACACAAGTCTTGAAGTACTTTCAGTATCTCTTAGTATTCAAGTGTGTTATGTGTGTGTCAGTACATGTGAAGGCTGGAGTGTCATCGCAGTTTTGTATGCAGGCTCTTTATCTCTTTGTGTCCTGACAGTCGGGGGCAGGAGGTCCACGCCTCGATCACATCCTACATGCAGTCCTCTGTCACATGCCGTCATTGTCATGTTGAGGTTCTTTTATTTTTATTTCTTTCATTTTTCCCACGGTTCTTTTGTTCCCTCGGTTTTATTTTTTTTAGGTCTGAACACACAAACATCTGCACGGCAACTGCCACTGCACTGTGTTTTCAATGAACTGTGGACAGCAAAGCGTGTGGTGATGGCTCCCTGTGTTAAATTTGCATTAAGCTGCAGATCAGAGCGTGGACTTGTTCTGGTGAGACTGAACAGCTGAATCAGGCGACTATCTCTGTGTTGGAACAAATCTGTCTAATAACCCATTTCTGTGGGTAGATAAAACGCAGCTTTGACACTGCGATAATAATAATGGCTTCGAATTTTAATGAGATTCATATCAAAGAGCACTATTGTTATTAAAACTGAAAGTCTCTTACTCTGACATCTATACGGCATCATTACCCTCCTGCCCTCACCTGTTTTCAGGACTTAAGGCTAATTCTTCCCAAATTAAAAGAATGTCTGTCTCTGCCTCCTCTGGGTTTTGTCGGGAGCTCTAGCAGGTACGAGCTACCATCGTCTCCACTTCCGAGGCTGAATTGCATGCAGTTAAATCATCCTCACTTAGCAGTGATTGTGCGCAGTGGGAGTCATGGAGCATGTGCTGATGTTTTAATCAGACCACCACTAGACTGCAGTCACACTTAATTAATTAAAGGAAATATAGGATGTGTGACATTAAATGTGGCATTTAAAGTACTTTGTTTCTTATGGATTATCTATGAAAAGGTGCACTCTAAAAAATGTCTGTAATTGAGCATTTACATAATGAAACCAGAATTTTTGTTAGTTTCGATCTATGTATACTTACATTTTTATACCTTACATTTTCAAATGCATTATTAAAACTCAAATGAATTGTGTAGTCCATCACATCCAGTGAATGTTAAGTTAAAGCTACGCTAATGTCATTGTTTTAGTTTAAGCAGCAATTAACTATGTTTAATCTCTGCTTTTCATCAGCCTTGTTTCCAGTAGCTGCTGTTTTCAACAAACAACCTCTGTATAGACCAGACAGCAGATATAGTACACAAACTTAGCAAGAAGCTTGTGACGAAAGTGGAACATCTAGCAACCAGTGAGTTGGTGGAGACCAAACCAGAGCTAAAAGGAAAGTGGTTCCACTGTCCCCAAGTAGCCAAAAAATCAATTCTCAGCCGTTCTCAGTTAAAAGTCTACTAATAGATGAACATAAAATACATAAATGTTCAGCTGCCCCGACAACATAAAAATGCATTCTTAATGGCAATAACATAATTTGCAAAATGGTTAGCCATGATCTAAATAATACATAATTTGTAGTAAATGACTTAAGCATGTAAAATCACTTGTAAGGCTGTTTAAAAGTCTTATTTTCTTATAACTACTTATATACTTGGTTCTTGTTTCCAATAAAAAGCAACTTGTTTCAAGGATTTTCTGGGAAGTTAAAATTTTCTTATCAAGTGCAGCAGCCTGCTCGTCTTTTGTTTCAAGATACTGATGGTCATCTCGGGGACATGATGCAATGTTCTTCTAATGTACTGGCAATTCTTTTCTAGTTTTAACAAAGTATGGTCTTTAGAAACGAGAAATGATAAGATATTTTTGTGTACTACTGTCTCTTTCCTCTTGCTGATAGATTTCAAGGCAAGGGATTTTCTTCTTCATACCCCCTCAGGACTAAAGCTTGTATTTGGACCACAGAAGGCTCTCCAGCTCCATTTTGCAGCAAGGATCTATCTCCTTGGCTGTGTGGTCAAGGGCCCACCAGGCAAAGCTACTTAACGGCAAATCTCGTTTAGCAGAATCCTCTCAAAATAAGAGCCTCAACCCCCACCCCTATTTTTCCTCACGCCCTTTCAAACGGGAGCTAACACTGACACAACCTGACTGCCGTTAGCTAACACCACTGTGTGCTTCCCTTTACCCTTTTCTTTTGCTCAACTACTTTCCTCAGCTCAAAGCTTCACACCAATTAGCAACACTGTTGATTAGCCGGTGTGCAGAGGTGTGATGCCTGTGTGTCTTCTGACATGCTGCTCAGGTTTATACACAGTTTCTCGCCCTGCAAAGGTGCCACAGGCTACTACAGCTGATCTTGTACACTTGGTAAAGATGGGGGTTCTTGTTTTCATTTGATTTCAAAGCTCTGTTTGGAATTCTAGTCAGTAGTTTCTTCACCCACGACTTCCCGAGAGCACCAGCTGGGTGAGCTAGTGGAGATTCAGTGTTTCAGTGCTTTCACTTGGGTGGCAGATGTTATGAACTTTGTGAACCTCGGAAATCGTTTGAGGATTTTTAGAGGTTAAGTATTGTCAAAAGTTTTCTGTCTGACTTTTACTTTTTCATTTTTATGCAATGCGTAGCGTGAGAGTTAGCAGCCACGGTGCAATCAAGATGTTCATTTGTGTTGGTGTGAAATGAAAATGGCTTCACAAAGTGTGTCTTTAAAAATAACAACCCCCCCCCCATATCAAAATGGGCATGAAAAATTTAATGTAAATGTGCCTCCTCCTTCTCCTCCTCTGTCCTTCTCTGACCGCTTCAGACGTTGCGAAAGAAAGGCTTTAACGGCTGCAACAGCCCAGAGCCCGACGGAGACGACTCCATCGACCAAAGCCCGCTAAATGAGGACAAGTACCGCAAGACCGAGGACCTGGACAGCCTCTTCAAACGCTACGGCGTGAGTACCATCACACTTTTGTCACCTCATCTAACCTACTCTTTCTCTTCTTCTCTTTCTCTATCTACCTATCTCTGTCTGCCCTCTTCTTTTGTTTGGGGAACGAAGGCTCTGAACAAGAAAGAGCACCGGGACTCTGAGAGCCCAGACCCCGAGGAACCATTCTCCCTCACCCCCCGCACTGAGGAGAAATACAAAAAAATTGACGAGGAGTTTGATAAAATGATGCAGAACTATAGGCTGTCAGTGAGTACTGTCCCCCCCCCTCTGTGCAACCCTGCCCCCTCATACCCTGCTGCCGGAGGTCTTCCAGCTGCTGATGGCGGCCTGACTACTCACAGAGCACTCGCCTTCACCATTCCCCACCCCTTTACCTCCTCCACTTCACCTCTTACCAACAGCACCTTCCTCCACCCACCAAATCACTACCCACAACCCCCTCTGATAATGTGTGACTGAGCAAGAAAGGTAGGGCAGAGAGGCCAAGCTGACAGACTTAAGGGCGAATCTTTAAAACCAGGGCTGTAACTAACGATATTTTTAAATTATCACGTTAGTTTCTTGTTTGATCAATTAATAGTACACACAGCAAAAGCAGTATAACACCAAATAGGGCATTCTTTACTGTGATTATTCACCTGACGTTACAGTCATCACAGTGAAGAGCATCCTCAGGAGTATTATGGCTTTAATATACTGTTTCTGGTGCCTCTGCAAGTTCAGTAATGTACAAGAATAAACAACAGAAGGAGAGGAGTGCTAACTAGGTCCCTAGTTTTCATAAAAGTTGGCATAGCAACTGATATCACAAGGGGAAATCATGCTTTATGGTAATAATCAACATGTTTGGAGCATGCCTTTGAGCAGTGGGATTGCTTAGCTTAAAGTACCAATTGTGTAATACTGAGCAACACTAAAGAAATAAATGTGCAATTGCAGACGTGCTTTGTGAACCAGGGCTGGGTCTATTCCTGACATTATGCAGGTAACACAGAGAAAGCCAGGGTGCAGTTGCTAGCTGGTCGTCCTCTGCAGTATTACTGTGGTCACATTGGTCCCAGTGTAGTCCTGCTCCTGCTCCTGGATGTGCTCCTGACATTATCCAGGTTCTGCCTCCTGACTGGCCCTCTGCCAAGTTCTTTTACCACTCCGCTCCTGTGCCAATTTCTCTGTGAATCATTTTTCCTCCGTGCTCAATAATGCCATTAATGTCGCTTTAATGAGTAGCACTCAATTTACAGCCCGTCTTCCTGTTTGCCAGCTCCTCTGATTGGTCACTTGGGATGGGACACAGTTCTGTTGAGGCGCTGCAGGAGAGTTAGACAGCAGTTATTCCTAAATCATGTATGTTGTAGAGAAAGGTTTTTTTTTTTTGACTATCTGCATCTTATTTTAATAGTTTTACTCTTCTTATACCTTAAAGCGAAATTTCGTAACTTGGTGGTTGTAATCTAGAGACACAATCACTTCAGACAATGGCACTATTTAGAACTCTCAGTGACTGCTACTACTATGAAAAGATACATGAATATTAACATATAATTTATCCAACGATAGATTTGTCATTTCCGTTCAATCATGAACAAATGATGGACAAAACTATATAATTAAGAACCACACGGGGAAAAAAATAGACTTTCCTTTTAAAATATAGCTAACACAAAAACTTTAAGAAGAAGAAGAAAGGATTTCAGTATACCACTGAAGAGCCGCAGCTTTTGGCTCTCGACGACTGGATGCTAGCCGAATGCCTCTAGCAGGTAGCCCCCCCCCCCCAACACCTCACTGCCCTTCGGTCTCTCAGCCTGCCAGCCTGACCTGGTTTGCCCAGCACACCTTTCACAGGGCACCAGCAAACGGAAGCGTACATCACCACCCACCACTCCTCCCCTCAGCATCATAATCCCCAGCATGACAGCTAGGGGCCGGGATATACAAGCTTAATCCCACTTGTACTAAAATACCTCCTGAGGTAGGGAGAGAGTGGCGAGGGAGAACGGGCAGGACACTTGGCTAGACAAGCCCCGAGCTAACGGATCTGTTCCTGTTACACTGGCGCTGTGGTAGGCGAGGAAAAAAAGGGAGCTTTTTTACCAGAGGGTCTCTGGTTTGATCCTTTTCTGGCTCTGAAATTCTGTGTTGGGAAATTGAATAAGAAATAGATTTCCTCCTTTAACAACTAGTTCCATGGTGCCCTTGAGCAGGGAGCTGAACGTGTTGAATGTCTCCTGTAGAGGCTCAGTATGAATGTGAACAGTTAGAATGTGAAACATGAAACTAAAAATGCTGCTTGAGCTGCACAGTTAATCACATCTAATTTATTTTTTAGATTTTTGGCTTTCAGAGTGAATAATCAAAAAATTCTGGCATTTTCTCAGCAGTACTGAAGAATTTCACTAAAATACCACTAGAAAATAATTGAGATCAAGATTTCAATACTAAATGTAAGACGTCCAGTAAAATAATTTTAATTTCAGTTTTCTTTACAGTATTGTGTGAAAATCTTGCTGTCATGTTGGTACTGACAAAATCAAAAGCACTCCAACATTCACATTGAGATAAATGGTGCTGTCATACAAACATTCATTCAATGATTTCTCAAATAATTCTCAAATATTTTTTCAGATGTGGTAATATTAGATAATGCCTTTTTTTTTTTTTTTTTACAATTATAAAAATTAATTAATTCAAAAATCTCAACCTACAGTACATCTGGATAAATAAAGTTGCCTCATTAGCCTCAATATTTTCTTAGTAGTGTATTTTCCCTGAAGGAGAATAAAACAGCCATATAGGAATATGTTTTCATCCGTAAATATTAACGATCTTATGTATGATATGATAATTTATTGAGTTGACTTTTTAAGTCGTTGCATTTATGTGTTTTGTGACACTAAGGCTAATCTTTCAAAGTTCTTAATCATAACTGGATTGGATCTACAGATTAAACAGTTTAATTTAAATCTACAACTCATTCACACTTTTTTGTTCTTTATTCTAACATTAGAGAAGATAGAATGGGATCAAGGTGATGGAGATACGTGAGGGAAACAAATTTACTGGTCAACTGCTGTGACATCTAAAGGTCACTCAAACACTCTTCTAATGCAGCCTCTGTGTTCAGATCCACAGATGCTAACAAATAGGATGTGACAATCCTAAAGTTGAAATAGGGAAAAAAAACTTTCAAAGGCTTCCAGGACAAGAGGGAGGGAAAGGGAAACTAGGCCATGAGTTAAATTCATTCCGATTTACCCTTGCATCCAGGAAACACACCCTAGTTGAGAGAGCTCCTCTGAGGGGAAAATAGGTTAGCTTACTCTCCCCTCTTTTTGTTCTCTTCACACAGAAGAGGCCTCGAGCTTCCTCACATGAGCCTCCGGAAAAGCTCCCAGTCAATTATTTACCTAACAGGTTCTTGTGTTTTTTTTTTTTATAAGGTTCCTCTCTGTTAAACCTGCAGGATGACGGGCATTGCCTAATTAACCCTCCTGTCTGCTGTTAGAAGCATCGTTGTTAAATGGAGTTGGAGTGGGTAGATGTAAATTCACTTGTAATTTGGCAAAAAACATGGATTAATGCTCAGTGGAGCACAGTGCAGAGCAGGGTGAGGACACATTTTAAATTCATATTTAGAGAAGAAGTGAAGAGGTGTTGTAATTATGTCACCAATCTCCTAGCAACCAGAAGCTGGCACCATCACGGAGGTCCTGTTATGGCCATTACAGACTGGCAACGAAAAGAGAATTATTATATTAAGTTTTTTTTTGTCGTGTAATTTCGGTACAATAAGAGTCTTTACTCCTCCAACACTGAATTTTGAACTTGTCAAGGGTCAGCGGAGTGAGCCAGAAGAAAGTTTTAGATAACTAACTAGACTGCTGCAACTTTATTTTAAATGTCAACATGCGTCTATCCTGGCTGATATCTGTAAATAACAAAAATAAGTTGGGTAATGGGAGATAGATTAGATTCCAGACAGAATTAGACTGATGCGAACAGGGCCATAGCCAGTTTTGACTAGCCACCAAACAAACCCTTCAAATTTCGTTAATTTAAATTTTATCTACTACTTTTATCCCAAAAATAACGGAACTGTCCCAACATGTGTAAATGTAAGCTCCTCTCATTCTTCATATCATTACTACAAACCTCGCAAATTACCAGAAAGATTACTGAGGACATAACTTCACTTCATCTTAGCTATTGCCCTGGGTATACATGTATATCTGCAGATGTACAGTACATTGTACCGTCTTTTAAAATATTTTATAAAATATAAACTCTTATACAACATAACAATTTGAGTTTGGAGTGTCGTCGAAACAAAAGGTGGCAGGTTTGATTCCCTTATGTTGGATCAAAATGCCATTCAACAAAGAGACTAAATCCCGGCCTGTTTTGTAAGTCCCTCTGGATAAGAACTAAAGACCTAAATAGTAAAATGTTTGGCTGCTCCCCAGCGCTGTGAGGACAAATCTTCTGTAGTGTTAACACACCTCCATCCCCTTCGCACTAATCCTTCACCCCTCATCCGTCCCTCCATTTATCCATCCCCTCCCTTAACCCTCGGCTTGGCCGGCGTGCAGTGGTGTAGTGCTGTTAGCTGCTATCTTCACCCGCCCTGGTCACCACTTACAGCTCTGTCTGTACACTCTCCTTTGAAAATGTCCTCTTAACACTTTAATGGATGAATTTTAAATCTCAGAAAGTTGGAAGAGAGACAGAAGTTAGTGGTCACTCCTGGTTGCAAAGACAGACGCATGTGGTTTGCTGGTTTAACCTCACTTCCCCTTTCTAGTTAAATAGACTTCAGCAATAAAATATTGTACATACGATAGGGCTTAATTTTACAGAACTAAAGTTCTGGAAAGAGCTATGCAACTTTGTACTAGACTCAGGGAAAATAGAAACTGTGTTCACTTAGTTAATTTCCATTTGATTTTAAATGAATTGTTAGTTTCCTTTACTCAGAGAATAGCAGGTTTAACTGAAGAGGCAAACGTGAAATTTGTCCACTGTCAAGAAGAGAATAAAGTTTCCGTTAATAAATAAGTAAATAAATGAATATGAAGGGAATTTCTAGTTCCTTATAATAAGGACCAAATAGCAGTTATTTCTACAAAACTTCCCAAATTATTAGAAAATGTGGGAAAAAATGTTGGAACTTTGTAAAATAAAGTGTTACCAAGGATATGATAGCATTTCCTACAGCCATAGTCACTCATCTTTTCATTTTTTTTGTTCTCTTTTCCCTCCTCTGTCTCCCCCCCCCCCCCCCCAAAAAAAAAAAAAAGTTACAAAACATTATAGAAGGAAAAGAGGCAGTGATGGAGGGCAGGAAGGTGCCCTCATCCTCCTCTGTGTTAAATTGGGTCCCAGGCAGTTTGAGTACAGTACAGTGCAGCACTGGCCCATATTCTATATATAGAAGTCCTTCTTTCAGATTGAGTTGGAACAGGGTGAAATGGGTCAGATGGCTGGACAACCCGAGGTCCTTGCCCTTGATATTTCCAGGACCCTGGGTTGTTCGGTCATCTGCTTTCGGAGGTCAACTCAGGTGAGCAGGTAGCCCATTTATAAAAATAAATAAATAAATAAAAGAAGAAAAATAATGAGTAAGATGTAGTAGTAGACAAAGTAGTTAAATCTTGAAACATTCCGGGAGCGTTGGATGAGGCATTAGGCACAAGTACATTAGTATTTAACAGTGATTTCACACACAGTAGGATATTTCCCTGTGATGAGCTTATGTCAGTGGGGGTGGTGGGATGAAGCTGGAATGTGACATGCACGCTATGAAATGTCACCAATAACCTGCTGCTGCGACAAGACTTTTAACCTGGCATGAGAATTGAACAGCGACGCTGCTTTTTGACCTTTCCACCAAGAAGTCACCTTGCATGCTAAAACTGAGCGTGTGTGTGTGTGTGTGTGTGTGTGTGATTTGATGAATTTGTTTGCTTGAAGAGTTAATTTCCAAAACGCTCTTTTTACATTTGAAGAAAATCCTTTAAAGACTTTAAAAGATTGTTTCCAGTATTTTTGCATATTTTATCCCATTGAATACAAATTGCAAATACTGTCAAACACTGCCTGGAAATATGGGATATGTCCAGTTTATAATGGTGTTGCCATCATTTTTGGCCATTGAGGTCCTCAAAAAATGCGTTTACACTACAAATACCTTCTTATAAAGCCCTTTGTTTGTCTTTGGGGCCGCTGTGGCTCAGGAAGTAGAGCGGGTTGCCCGTTAATCAGAAGGCGGGCGTTTCAATCGCCGGCTCCTCCGGGCTGCATGTCGAAGTGTCCTTGGGCAAGATACTGAACCCCCAATTGCCTCTGGCGGCTGTTCCACTAGTGTATGAATGTGTGTGAATGTTAGTTTCTGTTTCTGAGCTGTTTAGGCTCAGTGTATGAATGTGGGTGAATGGTGAATGCAGATGTAGTGTAAAAGCGCTTTGAGTGGTCGAAAAGACTAGAAAGGCGCTATACAAGTACGGAGCATTTACATTTAAAATAGGATTTTCTTAAAACAATAAATTTGTCAGTGCAGAAAAAAAAAATTTAAACCAGTTTCCAATGCAAATCATGTTGGTTTAAGTGTTTCCTACAATCAGTACAAAAATAAGTTTGTTTTTTTTATAACTCGAATACTATATTACTGGAGATGTCTGCTGATTAGTGTTTTATTTAGTGACATCAATCATTTAGATACAGCAGAGGTTTTTGTTTTTAGATAAAACAATTTCAGAGTCAACTTAAATATCTATATGTATGAAAAAGTCTCCACACCACAACTTGTGAACGCTCTTTTTGTGATACAGTACATATTAAAAACATATAAAAATCTCCCACTGAAGAAATGCCTTAATCAGTCATTTTGGACTCTTGCTGAGACCAAAAAGCCAATAAAAAAAAAAAAAAAAACTATTTAAAATATTTTCTATATTTGTAATTTAAAACAATAGGACCAATTTCACTTATTTTAAGAAAATGTCTTTCTTAATCAGACAAAAACAAGCAGATATGATGTTTTTTTGTAGCACCAGGATATTATATATGAACATTAGAGTTGGACAGTTGGTGTCTTATATAACGGTGTATATAAAGTCTCAACTGTTTTGGAAAGACTCTTTGTTGTGATTGGTTCTGTTGGTGTGTTTTTCACCTGCGGGCTCGTTTGCACTGCTGCAGATCACTAACTGATCACCTGTCTTATTACTGTACAAATGTGTGTGTCCGTGTGGGGGGACGCCACAGTCTGAGCCACGCCTTCTTCCTGTCTCTTCCCCAGTCTACAGTCCCACAGCCAACCTTCTCCATGCCAGTCACCGTGCCAGTATCCAATCAGAACGCGGCGGCGGCGGCAGCCCTCCAGTTCAGCAACAACCCTGGCGGCGCCCTGGTCACCACCACCTCCTTTGTCACCTCCACCCTCACAGACCCCCGCCTCCTGTCACCACAGCAACCAGCTCTGCAGAGGAACACCGTGTCGCCAGGGTTACCGCAGCGACCAGCCAGCGCAGGTAAGAGACGGAATGAAACGCAGCTGGACTGCTTTGGTTACAGCTGTCTGTGCAGTGGTTGTGTAACTAAATAATTTCTGGTGCTTTTATATAAATAAATGTCTAGTTTCAATTCTCTCATTTGCTGAATGGTCCAACCAGTATATTACAGCTTTATCCATTTTCTCTCTTAAATGCCAAGTGATCTTGTAGCTCTCTATTTGAAAAGTCCCCTGATGCTCAGCAACTGATGTGTTTTGCAGCAAAGGCAATTTGAAACAAACTGAAGGAGAAAAAAGACAAAAACTTAAAACTTGTACAAAAGAAGATTGAAGGAAAAGTCTTCAGAGTGACGCCCACACTGTTTTGATTGACAGATGTTCTGTTGCAGCGCAGAAACGGCAAAATGGAGACAATTTCGAAAACATGGCCAAACTCTTCCATTTTCACTGAAATTGCTTTTGAATCGAGTATTCTAAGAAGTGCTGTTGCTTGGCGGTGCCCCCCCCCCCCCACAGTAATGGTAAGGGAACTATATAGTTATATGGATGAAACGAAGCATCAAATGAAAGAATTTGTATCGATGCGTTTTAATAACTGAATTAATCAATTTAGTCGATGAATCGTTTCAGCCCTAAATATTATTAGGAATGCACAGAATGTTCGCCCACCGAAATTAATCGGCCAAAAATAGCAAAAAAAAAAAGCACTTTTGGTGTTCGGCCTAATATTGCAAAAGACCGAATAGATTTTACTGAACAATTATGTTGACATGTCAGCGAGCTGACAGGCAGGTTAGAGACTTTATCCTGTCAGTTTGTCTCTTTACAAAGACAAGTGCTACAGTATGAGAGCCCTACCTGAAGAGAGGCTGTGAAGTCTTCATGTTACGCCGTACGAGACCCACATACAACATTATTTATCAAATTGGGTCGGACTTTTAAGGTGTTTATACAGGATGGAAATAAGATGAATTGGATTATATTCACAGAAAGTATAAAATATATTACATGTGTCCATTTTTTAATGGACACATGGTCGGCCTGTCAAATGACAATTTTCAATTATGAGATTAGATTATTGAGGGTTTTTTTCGCACACATGACCTCCGCCGACAGCAGTGACCGTAATGCTCCAGTCCACATCAAAGGGAAAAGAAAAGGAAGCCCTCAGCTGTGTGGGAGCACTTTAAACTGAGTGATGACAGCAGTAGTGTGGAAGTTATGGTGTTTATTAATTTTACAATTGCTTAATTTCATTACAGACCTAAACAGTCAAATTTCCTACATTTTAAAATTAATCAGTAGCTAAACTGTAGGCTGGAAACAAACAACATAATGAACACATTTAAATAATTATATTAGGCCGACTGTAGAAGAGCATTTAGTAGGCTAGGCTATAATAAAAGTTAAAAGTGAATTTTGCATAATAACGTCTTATTTAGTTCCACTACCAGAAACACAGCTCATCCCGTCTGCTCTCCACCTGGACCCTCGCCCGGCAAAACTATTCCCAGATTCTGCTCTGGACCTGCTCGGATCAGACTCTCACTCTGGACTCTGGTTCCCCCTGCTCTGTCCAACCCTGTTCGGCACGCATCTCTACCCTGCTCAATATCTGATCCCTTTACCCTGCAATATATGCCTCTTTTATGTAAATTCTCCCTTTCTTAGTCCTGCACTTTGGTGTGCTAGCCAAAGTTTTGGTAACAGTCACTTAGTTAGCCTAGCTATGAGAATAAATAAACAGAGCGCTCTCTCTATTTTTCTCTCTCTCACACGCACACCCATGCCCGCCGTTATCTCTCTCCCATCTGACCCTCCCTCACTGAGCAGAACTTCTTGGGCATTTATCCTTCTTCTGCTGTTCTGCCTCTGTCTATGAAAATACATAGCTGTAGCTCGTGAAGTGACAGCCTGCTTATCAATAGACGTTTAAACAACCGGCATAACTAATAATTCGAAGCTCAAAAAATGACATTCGGGCCAACCCTAATACCAGACCCTCTTTGGCTTTCGACCCACCCACCATAGTCTGTCCAAATCCTGTAGGAAACACTAAGTAAAAAGCACATTTTGACTATTTAATTTATGCAACCGTAAAAAACTTTTTGTTATATTTGGCTTCGGACAAGATTTTTAATTTCAGTGCATCCCTAAAAATTATGTAAACAGCAGGCAGAATTAGGTCTACATTTGCCCGCTCACAGCTCGCATCAGTGGTGTCTTTCACACAGTCTATCAGCAAATTCATCAAATAATCACTCAGTCTTCATACTTAAAAAAAGGACTTTAAAGTTACCACATGCAAACTCTGCTTTAAATGTGGGTCATATTGTGTTGAATGCATCTGTCAACCCTCTATGCAATGCATATGTGACTCATATCCCGCTTTAAACTTGACTGCTGTTCCTCTCTGTCAGTACAGTCGTCCTGTGTCTGTCCTACTTTCTGTACAGTTTGTTGTCATGATTCTCCAAACTGTTCAGAAAAAAAGCACCTTTATTTAACGTCAGTCCGCTGTGAGACCCATCATTTGACATCTCCCAAACATGTTAAAGAGCTGATTGCCACATTGTTAGCCACCTTTCATAGACATGGTTGACTTTGGGATGTAGTTACTTAAAGACCTTTTATGTAATTGGTGCTATTTTTCTGCCCTCTGTATGTAGAAGCACAGTTTATGTAACAAGTAGTCAACAAGTAGCAAATTGGCCAAAGAAGTAAGTGTGTGTCCGTGTACTGATGTCCAGTCTCCATGCTCAGTTACCTGTCAGTGTGAGTAACTCCTGTTTGCTCAAATAAATGCACACCGCCTTTTAATGACAGAAATCTATAATTTCCTTGACTGAGGCTGGTACACTCCTGTGTTCGCTGCTGCCTCTGTGTTGCAAACCAATCCTTCACCCTCTGACTAAAAGGATTTGTGCCCCATTTTTGCGTCTCAGACAAGGTTACTTATCAAGCTTTGTTCCGACCAGCGTAATCTCATTGTAAGTCAGAATTAGGTGATGTAACGCGCAACAAATGCATTACAGCATCTTTCATAACATGCCGTTCTCCGAGGCAAGAGGGTTTCACATAGCAGTAATGGACGACCCCCCCCCTTCCTCCTCTTCATAACCTCGGCCGTGCAAATACTCTGCTGTACCCTGCTATGCATCCCACATTACCAGAGATGTATTGGGTTCGTCGTGTTTGCTTATTGGTGTTTTTCCATGTGTCCGTCCAGCCAGATATTTTTCAGTCGCCCCTAATGACCTCGAGTTTCTGCCTTTCTGTAGAGTGTTTGAGCCAAAAACTGAATCTGTACCGCAACAAGGAAAATAAGTGTCAGTGTAGAAAAATGCTGTCTGCCATTTGGAAGAAAAACGTTTTCTAGAATGAAGATAAAAGTAGAAAGACATACTTTGCTGTTTATTTACTGTTACGGGATGGAGCGCATTAAGATACATTGACATTTTAAAGCAGTAACAGTTGATTTTTATGTATTTTTAGCTGTTTGGGGGCAGTGGAATAGGCTGTAAACACACACAAACACACAACTGTAAACATTGTTGTTGGCCAGTGGACCAAAACAATAAACTGGACGATGCTAAAATACTCGGTAGAGTTCAGTTAAGATATTCAACTTAGTTCAGGCAGACCACTGAGGTTGCGATAATGTCAGCTGCTCAGCATCAGCTGTCTCATTCATGCTCAGTATCATTGGCTACCAGCTGACGACAAACATCAAACATCACATTCATACAAGATTCCTAGGCGGCCTGTATACACTGTTTTCAATGCAACTTTGCTGATTCATAATGCCAACAACACAACAGCACCCCCGACACACCAGCTCCTCCTGATGTGATTAAAGCTTTTTTGTATTGTCTATCTTATTAAGCTCTTTTTACTTTTAAATATCTATAATTATTATGATAGTGTGGAATAAGTTCTCCCAGCAAGTTTTTCAGGCTGGTCGAAGATATCAAATAAATGCTTTGTTCTGGTGTCTGTACTGGCACAGATATCAAAATGTTTTTAAAAGCCAGGCCTAGTTACGTGACATTAAGTCTTGATGATCTTAAGGACTCAACACACGGTTCGATTGGCAGTTATTTTAACTGTTACTTCCAGTAAGGATTTTCATTTTAACCAGTTTTCTATTTTTTAAATACCTTTGGGTGAACATCAGGTGGCAATTTAATCTTTTTATTTCACAATGTAAAATGAGTTTTTCCAATGTGACATAAGTACCATTGAGAATCGGTGAAACTGGCACTTAGAAATTAACTGGTAATGCAGAATTGAAACCAATTATGGTCCTTCATAGAGTGAAGTGAGTGTCGATAGCAGAAGCAGTTTTTTAATGACATACTTGATTTAATGATATTTTTCAAAATGGGATATGCTGCATTTTATATTAGCGCTGTTCAGATTAACGGTTTCATATGAAATAATCTTTATGCTGTTATATTTGATGGACATGTTGTGTTCTGCTGTCCTAGGTGCTCTGTTAGGAGGAGATCTGGGGAATTCGAACGGAGGCTGCCCGAGTCCAGTCCGTAAGTAGTCTTTTACCTTGCTTTATGTTCTTTAAAATAGTTAAGTTTGTACTGATACAAACACACATCAACACACACAGAGTATTCCATCCACCCTGCCTCAGTCTGCTTTCTGTAGTTCAGACTTTATAAAAGGGAAATGATTTTTGAGACTCACAGGCAGAGCGATGCAGAATATTTTATGTGTGGCAACAGGAGGCCACGTGTCCACAACTCACACACAACTCAAACAGACATACACGCAAGCATGAAAGCACCTGTTGACTGGCGACAGCTGAAGGTCACAGTACAAGCTGCTTGTAAACAGTCCAAAGAACAGAATGGGTTTCGGGTTGTAAGAGGAAAAACAGGAGCAGAGAGTTTTAAAAGAGGAAGAGAAACTGACACAAAAACTATTGTGAAGCTCCACAGCTGGCTTTGTGTCGGTGTTGTTTGTGACTTGGAAACCAGAACTAAGTTAAATATCTTAAAATGTTGACAAAATTACTGACCTGGCCTGGTGTGCCAGCTGGTACAGATACCTGGAATTGAGATCAACATTTGGTTCCAGTTTTGCCAACCCATTAAATCCAGTTCAGAATTGCTTGACTGACTGAAGTGTTTGTCATCGACTTTCTTTTTGACTCGAATGTGAATGTCAAGATGGCTTTACACTTTAGGCACTCAATAGCCAACATTTTGAAATGACTCCAGCATGGCTGCTAAAGAACAAATGTATTTCTGAATTTTGTTATAGGTCAGTAATCTATACATAGTTTAGGGCCAGTAAAAAATAATGTCGGACTGAGTTGCAAAAACATTAGTATTAAAAAAACTAAAACAAAAAGTCGGATTAGAGACTCACAGAGAGCGCTTGATGTTTGTATCTGTTAGTATGTTTGGTTTTAAAAGTCAATTGTTTTGTTAACCTTTTTTAATTTTTTTATCATTTTAACTTTTTAGTTTTTTTTTTTTTTTATATCCAGGATGTATTTAATAAACGATTAAACATGTTAACAGTATAACATAACATATAAGTCTTTGGTTTTGTTGTAACACTGATAAATAACTTTTGGAAGGAGGGCCAGTAAGTAAGTTTCAAATCGACTGGCCAGGTGGGGCAAGTTGCAAAAAAGTTTAATGTTGAGCCCTGTAGTGTAACTTAAGTATTTCTCTATAATGTTAGATGTTAGATAGTCATGGCTTAATAAGAAGAATTCAAAGTTTAAAAAAAAACATCTGTAGGTATTGTTTATAAAGAGTTTGGCTCTCAAAAACACCTGATTGATCCTGAAAATTCAGAAAATTGTTGAACAAATCAGAAATGTGGGTGGTGATTCAGAGGTCTGGAACCAGGCAAGCTGAAAACTTTTATGAAATGAAATTTGTGCCAGCAGCCAAATATTAGAGTCAGTAATGTGAGATTTTTACTGCAACGATTGTACCAAATAAAAATCCCTGGGACCTGACAGCAGTGTGCTCAACACTCCTCAGCTTTACCCTTTCCCATCTTCAGCCATGGCGTCTCCCCCCTCATCTCCACACCTACACCCCCTCCCTCCTCTTTTCATCCTGTCTCTCTCAGCTGTTCCCACTTGTCTTCTCTCTGGAATTATCTAACGCCCCACCCCCCTCATCCAACTGTCCCTTGTCTTGGCACAGGACTCTCCTCAGAGGTGACTTTGACACTGGCCAGAGCTCTCCCCTTAAATCCCATTAGCCAGGACAGATACTGCCAGCCAGCCCGTAGTAATAGATATGGTAGGAAGGTGTCTTTTTTTCTTTCTATATTCACTTGATAAACGTATTGTCTGAGGGTAAGGTGGGCTAAAAGAAATCAATACATATATATTAACTCCCCCACACTGTATCAGTGGAATATGCCATAGCCAAGTTTCAATATTTAAAGTCAAGGCTGTTAATGAAAGAGCATCTTCTATTACAATGTGTTCTCCATCAATGCACCAGCGTTGCTTAAAGACCAGTTTTGTGTGGTGATTCATCAAAAAGAGGAAGTGCAGATTAGTAAAGCATTGTAATATGGATATGAAGATCAAATCACTTCTTTTAGAACATGATAGCATAAAGGGAACTGCAACTTAATCTTGTTATACAACCCCATGTTGTAAAATGATAAATACATCTACCTTTATCCTGTGTATGTATATTACAATCACAGTATGAATAGAAAAGTAAATATAAAGTGTTTTGTGAGAGTTTCTTGGTAGTTTTCCAGCACTGTGTGTTCTTATCGATGACTGGAAAAATGTGACATGGACGTGTCTTTTATATTCTGTAGCATCTGTGGCTGAAACTGTGAAAGTAAATATTTTCATTCAATTGGTTTTGCCTGAAATTAATGAGCCAGTGTTTCAAAAACTCTCATTAAAAGTCCTGACCCTAATTATAATGTTACGAGTTGTTACTTTCAGCATTAGCTGAGCTTGAATTTTGCTGCTTTTCATGGTGTGACATTGTTCTGATAAAATAGCACCCGAGCTTCTCTTCTCCCTGCTCTGTCTGGCCGACAGAGTTTAGCAGGCAGGCGAGAACGGGAACAGGTGAGAGTCACGTAGCGCCCAGAGAACCTGATATGGAGAGGGCAGAGGAGAGTACCGGCAGCTTGGGAGAAGTCCCGGTACGCCAAAGAGTAAAATGTCGAGGTGCCGGTACTGCGTACCGGAGCGTTCCTGCCCACTTCCATTCCAAAAATTTAAATTTTCACCAGACACTGAGATTTTTTTAAATGATTTTTCATGATGGAAGTGTGCCGCGGTTGAATGTTACTGTCAGAACCACCTGCAACTCACTGTAATAGTCACGAGTTAAAGCCCCTCGAGGGAAATTGTGATTTGTGATATTGGGCTATAAAAATGAAATTGACTTGACCCGTCATGACTCCTTCATGTGTCGAAACATGAAACCTCCTTCCTCACCTTTTCCTTTCTCATTTCATTCATTCATTTCACTTATTTTCCTTTGGACCTTCCCCACTCTCCCGTTCCTTCTTCCCAACGGTGTCTCTCCTCTTTCTCTTCTTTCACATTTTCTTTTTCCTCTCTGAATTATTTATTCTCTCAACAACAACAATTTCTCTCTTCCCTTTCTTTCTTACTTTATTCTACTCGTTTCTATTTCTAATCTATTTCTTTCCCTCCTCTTCTTCTCTAGCTCCTTTCATCCCTTCCTCTCTTCTCCTCCCCTATGTCCGCTCCTTCTTTACAGTCTCCTCCTCCTCCTCGCTGTCCTTCATCTCTTCCACTTGCCTTCTTTCTCAACCATTTCTTCCAGCTTCTCCTCATCTCTGCTGCCCTCCCCTCATGTCTTCTTTACTCTTTGCCTCTCTCCTTCCTTCTTTCTCTTTCTTTTCTCCCTGTCCTCCTCCTCCTCTTGGATCTGTCGTTCTCAGCTGTTGTCCAGGGACTCGGGGCTTCGGGAATGTCACCATTGACGTCACCCGGCATTCCACACATTCCCACGCCCGGCCTAGCGTAATAGGAGACCTCATACACACACATAGACACGCAATAGCCACTTACACTTCTACACAGAGAAGAGCACATGTAAAGGGTACAGAAAGTACATACAAACAGTCACCATACATAAATAAAGTCACAGATGCATGAACATGTTTCGTGACTCACTCACACTCTCAGAATGGGTGTGTATTCATGCAACCTTGAACAGACTCAGAATAAACATCTCTCACACACTAAGTATTATGATACAGTCATCTCATGGATTGACAAGATAAAATATAGGATGCATGGCTCAATAGGCATGCTGATTTGTATAGCACGTTTCAACAACAAGGCAATTCAAAGTGCAGTAAAAGCCACAGTGTAGTGTAAGATATTAATCTACAGCCTTAAATTTGATTTTATTAAAGGCAGTGGTAAAAAGAAAAGAACTGAGTTTTCTGGGAGTTTGTTCCAGATATATGGAGCATAAAAACCAAATGCTACTTCTCCATGTGTATTTTCGACCCTTGGGACAGAAAGCTAAATAAATTAATATTGCTTATATTTTTTGTTTATGCTTGTTCTGTCTATGTTCATCCAGAGCAATGTAAGACCCGAGTCAAATTCCTTGTACCTATGTACACATACCTGGCCATTAAAGCTGATTCTGATTCTAATTTTAATATGTGGTATAAGGGGCGGTGACCCCAAATGGCTCCTGATGGTTGGCCAGCACCTTGCATGATGGCTCACTGCAATCGGTGTGTGAGTTTGTGAGTGGGTGAATATAAAGCTTTGAATGAATAAATGCAACCATTTACCATTCGCCTTTTTCTTATAGGTTTTAGTGTAATACTAAAATCTCTTGAAGATATTTTTCTGCATAAACATATAGTGAGAAGTTAAGAATGTTAAATGGTTGGAGTAACCTCCAAACACGCGAGTGTTGAAGAAGGACATTTTTTGTTTAAACGGTCAGTTCACCCAAATTCCAAAAAACAACAAAATATCGAAGATATAATATGGATAGTTTTAGTTTCATGTGTCCAGTTTGTCTCAGGGATAAGTCTCTGAGTCTGAGTCTCCACATCAGTACAATGGAGGTGAATAGGATTTTGTTTGTGGTGTTCACAAACTTCACTGTCAACAGTTTTTGTAGAGACTACTTCTTCTGTAGGAAGTGTTCACAGTGAGGTCTGAGTGGATGATCTGGTGCAAACAGGACACTGTTACCGGGCAGATAAGTATATTGGGGTGAGGCAGAAATCTCAGCAGATAAAACAAAACCATCTGCTTTGACACCAATAAATGTAACTGAGACAATGTGGTTTTTTTGTAAAACCGGCCCCGTTTTTGGGGTAAGAGATTTTTTTATGAGTAGGCTAGATGCCTCTCAGCATTCAGGCCTTCCATGCTTCAAATTGTCACATTTTTGAGTCACAGCATATTTTGCCACAATTTATCGTTGCACCCCTAAATCTGCACACTTACTTTCAAACAGGAATTCATCTGGGGTCTTGTAAAAATGACTAGGGAACATAGAAACAACCTGAAATGCATGACAAAACTGCATCCATGAATTCCAGTTAAACCATTACTTGTACAATAGAGTGAATAAGAAAGTGTAAACACACACAGATACAAATATGCCAGTACTCCAGACTGTTTCTGTATAGGGATTTGGTGCTGGCTTGAGGGCACCTGCTTTTCAGTCTCACACACACACACACAGAGCGTGAGTTTCTGTGTGTGTGTGTAACTCTCATAACTCAGGGTCACCACAAAGCCACCACCCTCTTCATTTACCCACAAACATGAACACAACGCAACCAGAAACAGATTCCCATCAGTCAGTGACGCACACACGTGCTCAGTGCCCGTTATACAACGGACACACACACACACACCTTCAGGATTTTCCAGAAACACCTGATGCAGGGAGGATCCATTGTGCGTCAACAGGACAGGTGATCTCAAGGCCAACTATTGCACATCACTGGAAAGATGCCTGCTGGGAAGTAAAATTCTTCGCTCTCCCCCCTTCTTTCCTTCCCTTAACTTTCTGCCTACATACCCTTTCATTCTCTCCCTCCTTTCTGTCTTCCTTCCTTACCTCTTCTCTCAATCCACAGCTCTTTTGTCAGTCCCTAACCTCCTTGCTTCCTGTCTAGCCTTCTCCCTCCTTCTTCCTCCCCTCCTCTCCTTCCCTCTCTTTCCCTTGCCTAGTCTCGCGCTCTGCCTTATTTCTTGCCTCCTTTCGTACTTCCCCTCTCTATCCCTACTTCTTTTCCTCCTTTTCCCTACCTCCCTCTTTTATATTTCCTTCTTCCTTTCCTTCCTTTCCTTCCTTCCGTATTTCCTTCTATTTTCATCTTTCATCTCTTTTCTGTCTTTAATTCCTTACCTCCTCCTCTTGTTCTCTATCTCCCTACATCCTTTTTTATTTCCCTCCTCCTCTTGTTTATTTTCAGTTTATTTTCAAATGGGCTTTCCACTGTTTCCTTCTCTTTTCCCTCCATTGTTACAACCTCAAAACTCTCCCTCCTCCTGCCTCCCTTTCACCGCTCCCCCACCACCTCCTCTTTTCACTGTCACTGTTTTTTTTCTCCTTGCCACCTTTCTTCCCTCTCACCCTCCCCTTGAGCTGTTAGAGAGGTAGCTTTCATTTGTTGTTGTTGTCAGGTTTAGTTCATGGGGTGCGTTTGTCCGTGTCTCCCAGGATTGTGTGTGACTGAGATGAAGCAGAGTCACATGCCGCTGTCGTCTGGAGGCGGCGTCATGGCGAACCGCTATCTGCTATCACACACACACCCTGACTCTGCCTGTCCAAGGGGAATACGGCCTGTGTGTGTGTGTGTGTCAGGGCTGGGAAACTCCCTGCTGTCCCACTTTTTTTACACACTGTTTTTAGTTGAGTTCTTCTTTTTACCTCAGCAGCACGAACAGGCTGCTGTCTGCTGGATTCTTGTTGTCATGACACCCAGACTTTTCTTAAACAGTTAATGGAAAAATCAATAAAAAATGTATAAAAAAAAATACTAGTCCAGGGAATGTTAAAACTTATACATCAGAAGAACATAATTGAATTTAAGGTATAAAAGATATAAATATGTAGTAGTAGTTGAAGAGCAGTAGGATTGAAATCTACCGTACAAGATTTGGGTTGTAAACGTAATATTCCTTGTTCCTAAAAAGCAGGTTTGACGTCAAAGCATGCACGCACACAGAAGTGCTATACTGCAATTCAAGCACGTCACGGATCAGGTATTGTTTCTTACAGAGTAACTGTTGCATGGGAATGTAGGAATTTGGAATGTGACCAGTTTTGCAGTATCAAAGGAGGGAGCGTGCAGCAGATGTGACGTCGCCTGTGATGTTGCTGGAATGCTCCCGTGAGAAAGAAACCGAGTACTCCACACTTTAAAAAAAGAGTAATTTCCTTTTATTATTAAACATATGGTGATATTCTATACTTTTCTTCATGTCAACAAATCACATGAAAACTCCCAAACCAACAAGTATTGCCTTGGTATCAAAGCCTGATATCGCTTCTTCCTCTGTGCCATAGAGCTCCATTGTTACCAAAAAACCATTAAAAAAACATCAGTGAGCCACACTGTGTTTATTACCATGAGCTTACACACTGCAGTTTGACTCAGTTCCATATACAGGGTACTGCTGTGGCTTTTTTCATGATCATTTCTAGTAAATTCTTGAAACAAATTTGTTTGGATTGTAAATATGTTTTTAAAAAATACTATGCCAAGGGAAGGCCAAAACATCAAGTCTTGAGAAAGAAAGGCTGTGCACACTTCAGTTCCTACAGGTTCAATGCAGGTATTTCATCAAAAAAAATGTGTGACAAAAGCATATATATAATGGCCTAGTAATAGTCCAGAGTGACTTAGAATATTTTTTGCAGTGTAACATGGAAAGAGTCCAGGTACGTTTGTCTTTTTTCACCACGCGCTGAGACAACTAAAACAAAAGAGGAATGACGTTGAGAGAGAGTGGAAAGAAAATAGTTCTGGAGAGAGAGTGACACGGGATGCAGAAAAAAATCAGAGCGCTGCCAAAAAACAATGTTTGAGTTGCAGAAACGATGAGGAGCATGTGGTGCGACAGAGCGATCCAACTCGCTAATGAGAACACACACAGGCAAACATCAACACACACAAACAAAGAGCTGAATATACACACCCAGGCAGCCAAGCAGAGTTCACAGGTAGATACAGATACTAAAAACATCAAAACAGACAAACACACAGCCTCCTCCATCTCTCCACCCTTCACCAAATCTCTCTCTCTCTCTCTGTTTTTTTGTTTTTTTTATGTGTCTCTCCAGCTAATGGCTACATCAGTGCCAGGGCCTCCCCGGGCCTCCTCTCCGTATCCAACGGCAACAGCCTGGGGAAAGTAGTCCCGGCTAAGTCTCCGCCTCCGCCCAGCCCTCAGATGGTCAACAGCCGCAAGCCGGACCTGAGGGTCATCACCTCGCAGAGCGGCAAGAGCCTCATGCAGCTGGTGAGGAGAACACAACTACAGGAGCCACATGGGGACAAATGATGGGTTCAAGCTCACAGGGGACGGGACAAAAAATATAGTCAGAGCTGAATGTGAATAGTGCTTTATCTCAGCATTTGTCAAGGTTAGGTAGCATAAACTGTGGCTTATAATGAAGCAGTAGATGGATTGAAGCTTTATCACACAAAGGCGTGCTCCTGTTGAGGCACTCGTGGAAAAAATAAAGAATAATTATTTGTCAATAATTATTTACTCATTAATCTGTCTTTCCTTCTACTTGTTATATTTTTGCCTATTAATACAATGGGCCTCACGCAATAACCACTCACAAAGAGATCTTTTTGAGTGGCATGTTTGAGTGACTCGAGTCATGAGCAGACAGTGTGCCTCTCTGTACAGGGAAAAACACTTGTTTGACATAAGAACTTCAATGCCTCCATCTGAATGAATGAATCTTTTGGCATTACAACTTAAACAATTCAGTAGTTGAATGGAAGGATAATTCTCAGCCTCTAATAGCTGCCTCGGGGTCTTTAAGTAGGCAGCTGTCCAGGGGAACACCCTCTGTTGCACACAACAGTGTAACAACATGTAATGTATTTCTGTGGCTGTCTCATCCCCTTAGCTTTTTCCCATTTTAGTCTTGCTTTAGCAAAGGTATCTAACTTCATGCTGAGCCATTCCATCTTTATTTCTGTCACAATACAGCTTTGTGTTCACAGCTGTAAGAATATTTTCCTTATTGAAATCTCACAAAAGCACACCCACTAATGAACAGCTGGCATTTATCATCAGGTATAAATGAGAAAGTTACAAGAGTTGGACTTCTGGGCTTCTAAATCTCTCTTTCTGCAACATAAGTTAATTTTGATTTCAACATCGATCAGTTTGGCTGCTTTATGACATCATAGTTGAGGAGTTCAGCTTTAGCGTTGACTGTGCAACACTGCTTTAAAACTAGAGGCCCTGATGTCCGTATCACTGTAATGTAACTAGAAAAATATTGTCAGCTATACTACATTAACTTTTTAATTCAATTTCACATCTCACTGCAGTTAGTTGTTTTAGAAACATAACCGTCCTCTGTTTTTTACCCCCCTCCCCTCCAAACGCTGTGCAGACAGAGGAAGAGCTGGAGTTGGTGAGTGAGGTGAATAGACTTCTAGACTTTTAGCCTTGTGGCTGTGGTGTCTAACTCTGTGTGATCTCACTGAGCATGAGTGTGACACAGTCAGCAGACACATCCCATCAGGGTTGACTCACTGGCACCGGTGCTATGACAAGAGTAGAAGAAGTGCAGTTAGAGCGTCAGAGCACCCGGTGAACTCGGAGCATCAGAGCAACAGACACACAGTGGACAAATCACCTGGTTGCACTGGTTCCTGGAGGGTTTGGACTGTAGTGTTCAGGGTTCACTACAAGCTGACCTATATTAGGTTTCCCTCGCGGGTGATGTTTTTATTTCAAGCCTCTTGGAGTCCTGTGGAGATGTAAACTTAAGTCCAAGTCAAATCTGAAGTCCTCATGTTTGTGACTTGACTCACCTGCTGTGAGATTTGACTTGACACGCGACTCCCAAAAGACTTGACTTGAGCTTCAAAGAGGTTTCAGCTGTACCTGGTAAAATCCCTGAACAATACAGAATAAGACAGGCAGGCCTTGCACGGCCACACATCTTTCATGTTAAATTATTAGGCCTTTGCATTAAAGTACAAAAAAAACCCCACTGTTAACACAGTTTTAAAAGGAAAATTATCCATTATGTTTGGCCTCACTCAGACCAGATAGACTTCCATCTTGACTTGGAATTTGCTTTTGACTTAAAGAAATAGTTTGACATTTTGGGAAATACACATTTGTTTACTTGCAGAGAATTAGATCAGAAGGTTGAGACCATTCTTTAATGAAAGATTTTTTTTGAAAGAATATGGTAGATGGAAGCTTCCAGCAGCTAGCTATTTTAGCTTAACATAAAGACTGGGAACAAGGAGAACAGCTTGCCTGGCTCTGTCTGAAGAAAACACAAAAACTCCTCTAAAGCTCATTTATTAACACATTTTGTCTCGTTTATTTAATTTGTACAAAAATATATATGTAAAAATTACAATTCACTGTTTTATGAGGCGTTATGGGCCAAACTATTTCTTGGCTGAGACTAGCTTAATACTTAGCTTACAGTCATGCGAATGATATCAACCTTCTAATCTAAATGTCCTCTTTGTTAAGACTTGACTTTGATTCTCTTAATTATGATTAATTTAGTGGGAATCAGCCGAGAGCCTTTTTTGAAGGGCCAGCAGACTTTATGTTGTGTTTTCCAGTAACTTACTCTGCCCACTGTGCTTGGGACAAGCTTTAAAAAATGATACAATTGTACAATTACAGATCTATTAGATTGTGCTAAATGTGATGGTACAGTAGAGCTCATGTGTGCAGTACAAACAGTCCATAAAGAGAAATTGAGGGAACCAGAGCAACCAGCTGTCTCTGACGCTCTGTGTGAAAGCTGCTCAGCATGTGCATGTTTGGTTTCATCTGAGTGTCAATGCACTGAGGATCAGAGTGAAGAAAGATCACAAAGTCTCCAACCTGGAACACAGACGGCCATGTTTGAGTCCGACACGCTGACCCCTTCAGTCCAACACACGCACGCACATGCATAAATATACACACACGTAAGCCTCAAACACGCCTCACGTTGTGTGTTCATTCCTCACATACCTCTCTGCAAACATTTACACACATACCTTTTCAATACACTCTTACACACACACACTCATCTCCACTGTCATCCTTGTCGATGCATGCGTTCCTGTCAGCATGATTCTCTAGCACAGCGATGCCTCTCATAACACCTTCCGCCGTGACGCTACATAACCCAAGCGCCCGGCCCTGGTGACAGCGTTGCTGTGCCAACGCCACCTTGAGATGCGAGACACTTCTCATCTTCCACGCAGATGTTAAAGTGTCACCGAAAAGTCAAATGCCTCAGAGAGAACCGAGGTGCTTGGATTTTCTCACAGGGGGCAGAAACCCTTCTGTGTGTGGCACGATGAATAAAACATCTTCCAATGCCCTGCACAGGCAAAGTAAAGTAATTTAACTTCGTATTATGTCAGACTTTAGTTATTAGTGCTCTGTTGGATTTGTTTTAGAATAGTTTTCTTTATTTAGTCTGCCAATAAAACTTTAAACGTGGCAGGAAAACTCAGGGTTGAAAGTTAATTAGTTGGTGCACTTCAGCTTTATAAAGCAGAGGGTGCAATTAAATCACAGGAGAATGTATTTGTTTTTTATTTCAACTAGAAGCAGAACACGCTCTGTTTATAGTGAAATATTTCAGTAGTAACAGTGTACTTAAATTGTTCTCAGACACATTACAAGGTCTCTGCATCCACTCTGCTGTGCAGTGAAAAGCACATGCTAGCCATTATCATTATTGCTGTTGAAAATGGATGAAGTCATGTGCCGTGAACTCCTACACTGGGCCCATATAAGGAGAAAAAGACACGATTCGTTGTGGAAACAGACCAGATTTTCTCACGACACGGAGCCACAACACAGGATCCAAAGATCCAAGAAAGAGAGGGGTTGGTTGTAAATCTTAGATGGATGTTTAAGCATCTTTTGTCAGAGTATTTACACGATTACACACATTTCAAATCCTTATATGTAAACCAGAATTCCATAACATGACACCAAAACTTTGAGATATGATCTCACTAGTTCCAGACTACCATTGAAATGTTGCACAAAACAAAGGTTTCAGCTTGAATTAAGTATACTGTACACAGAGGAGATGCAGATAATTATACATCATTACATTGGACACAATTATTTATATATTAAATTTGTAAGAAATCAGACTACTCTTTATTTCGGTGGGGACCCCTTAGAACCGCCCTCTGGCCCCATGAAGGCCCCCAGTACCCATGTTTAGAACAATTGTAGCAGTAATCACCTCTTCCACTTCCAGTGTCTCCAGTTTTCTTAACTTCCTCCGTCCATCTCTCTGTCTTCCCAGAATGCTCAGCGGCTAGGTGGCTCCCAGGTGGCGCAGTCGCTCACCACACCAGTGGTCTCCGTGGCAACACCCAGTCTCCTAGCGCCCTTCTCCGGCATGCAAACGGCCTACAACACCGGTAAGACAGCGAGGGCAGCTCAAACGGAATCTGTCTGTTCACATCAGGGCGAGAAATGGACTACTCCATCCACCAAGACTGACTTAAAAACATTAAGCCAAGCAAAAGATATAGTCTGCATTATGTCATGAAGAATCTTGAGTGTCGTAGAAACTTGAAAACCTTGCAGTGTGATGCCACAAACCACTATGAATATTCACTTTGTTCATTGTGTGAGAGCTTCTGGAATGATTCCACTTCAAAGGTCTCCATTAATATGGATTAGCGCTGATTAATATTGATGCACCAGAAAGTTGTATGATGTAAAACAATCCCCCTCACCCCTCCTCTCCACCTCCTTTCTGCGTCTTTCTCCCTCTGTGACTTCCTCTCCCATCTCTTAATCTCAGAGTACCAGCTGACGAGTGCAGATCTCACAGCGCTCCAGACATTCACACCACCAGGGCTGGTGCCTGGGAACATGGCTGCCTGGCAACAGCAACCGACGGTCTCCCATCAACAACAGCAGCAGCAGCAGCAGCAGCAACAGCAACAGTCACAGCAGCTGAGCTTGGCATCGCTCAGTAACTTGGTGTAAGCTCCCTTTTTGTCATCCAGCAAACTCGTAAATTAGTTTTATTCTCCTGACCTTTGACCTTTTCCCTTAAACATCCAACCAATAGACTTGTGCCATGTATGTCACACATACACATGAAACACTTCTGCACGGAGCAGTAGCATCACCCCAGCTGCGGTTGATTCATCTCGGTGGTGACCTAGATACTTCCCCCCCCTTCCCTCCCCCCTCACTCAGCATCTGACTCCCACAGGAGTCCCTCTCTGATTTAGCTCCTGGCGGCGAGGCGAGGCTGTGTTATCCAGCACACAGACACACAGGATTTAAAATTATAAAAGCTGGACTGGCTCTCAACCTCAAAAGGTCTTACTTACTACTAAAGTGTCCCTCTAGTCGGTCTGGGCACCCCCAAAGTGCACATCTGGTTAGCTTTGGCAAATTTTCTTGTTACCTTAAAGGAAAATGACCCCAAACCCTACTTATGAAATAACTGTCCCTTTTTCTTTTTCTCCACGACCACTTCCAGAGTCTGGAGACACTACTGTGCCTACTGTTATTTTGGCTGGTTAGTCCTCTCTCAATACATTACAACTCTTGTCCATCGCAGTTTGAACTCGGGACATGTTAAAGGTTCAATGAAAAATATGAACCTTCAGAAAAACCTATTTGGCATTAACCGACATTAGACTAAGACCCTGAGATCTAAGTTTATCTATGTTTATCTTTGCAAAATGCATAATATGTTACTGTATAACTACTGATGGGCTTGCTGTTCTCCTCAGAATTAAGATGGACATTGACCATTACAATGTGTTTGGCATTAGTTGGAGGAAAATTGCAACAGTGATGAGCCTGGGTCGAACACTCCCCCATTACCACTGGTTGGAAAAATAAATGAATGCTGGAATAATTGTCCACCCTAAGTTCACACAAGTTAGCTGCCAAATCATCCGTTATAAAACGAGCGAAGAAAGAGTTTTTAGATATGTTTTTAAGATTTAGTAGAACTAAAGACACCTGTGTCACAGGCTTTGTAGGACCACGAACGTTCAGTTTAGCCTGTGCTGATGCTAACAAGTGAGTTTACAATAGTTAAGATTTATGCAGTCTTTATGAAGTCTTTTATGAGTTCGGCTCTTGGCTCCTCTAAAACACAATTTGAGGTAAGCCTGCTGAACCTTCATATTCTGGTGATCTGATAACAACAAGAGACACCTCAAGTCAGTCTGTACAGCGTCTCTTAACTTTCAGCCAGTATCATACAGGAAACAGATGAAATAATGAAAACATTTCCTGTAAAGGGATCTGAACTTTGAAGTAATGAGAAAAAAAAACACTGCAACCACAGCTGTGTCATCTGAGGTTGGATGTCAGCCTTAATTTGTGACCACTGTGACTTTACTGCTTTTTAGTGATGCAGCTCTTCTGTGGGCGTGATGTCTTTATAATTAAGAGTGTTTCCTGAGAGAGTTCTTTGAGACGTCTCATGTTGCTTTGGAAACTTTATAGCAGATCACTTCCAATAATTGCTAATAACCGACGTTTATCAGTGCTTTTGTGATTAAGTTAATTCAGAGATTAAGTCCTTATCAGTAAGGTGTTTACATTATTTTGTTTTCCCATGAAAACACATTACAGGTAGGTGGGAGCCGCCCAATCTTGCATCTCCAAGAATGTTTCCAAATTATTTTTATGTGTACAAAACTAATCTTGCCTGAGCTCTATCAGGCATATTTGTGTCATTTGTGTAACCAATCTGGCTGTGCTAGGCTAACCTGTGGATGGGGGAGCAGCTTGTAACTCCCTCTTGTTTTGTCCTCCCTTCCCCCTTTTCTCCACAGCATGTGGGGTGCAGAGAAACAGAATGCAGAGATGGTTAACTGCATCTCCAATTTTGCTGCTAACCTGAGGTGAATGACATGATAGTGTCTAGTGCTATGCAGCTCTGCCATGCCTTTTATCTGTGAAGTTATTATACTGCCCCTGCGCTGTATGAGCCAAAACAACAAAATAACCCTAAGAAATTACAGAATAGATGCAATTACATGACAAACATGATATCAAACCATCTTTTCTCTCCATTTGTGTGTTGAATGTGACGCCTGTTGTTGCTTTGCTGTCTCTGTACTTCATTGCTGTTTCAGTTCCGTCAAGGCAACCCCCCCCACCTCACCGATTGTCACTTTACTGGTGTGGTTGTAAGAGTTTTCATGCCACCTAAAGCTTAGATCTGAAGCTCTTTGGAAGTGTCATGAACAAAGAGAGAAGATGCTGCAGTGTGACAGCCTTGCTAGCTTCTCAAATGAAAGGACTCTCTGGTTGCTGCGTTTAGTCCCAAACACTGTCCCAGCACACAGCTGTGCTCCACCGACATGCTTACTGCATTAAAATTTTACTTTTCAGCCGTTTAGCTATGACTGTCAGCTGACTGGAAGCTTCAGTTCCTCAGATATATGTAGGCCTGAAATTCCTACAGTAGCATGACTAAAAAGAATAATTTAGATGTAGCTTAGCTGTCAAATCCATACACGTATACACAATTGAAATAAGCATTTAACATTATACAGCCCCCTTAATGCTAATATCCTTTTGTTAAGAACAGTATAAGCTACTAATGCATCTTGGCGTTAAGTTCATTTAAGAGACACTACAGCTGCTCGGAATCTGTGTCACACAAAAAGCAAATTAAAGATAACAAATGTGTTAAAAGAAGAATACTTCAAATAACGTCAGCTGTCAGGAAGGAGGCTGTTTGTTTGTTTCTCTATCTAACAAGATGAAAATTGTCCATGCAAATATGATAATAGGTTGTTTGTTATTGTATACAGCAGCTGTGACTCCAGGGGGTTCAGCACAAAGCAGTATATAGTTAACACTTAACCACCAGCTCGTACACAGCACACTTCATATCGCCTTATAAATCTTAACAAATGGCTGTCCAGATTGTATGAAATCCTGCAGCAAACAGATCTGTTAAACCACTCAGAGACTCTGAAAAAGCAGCCAGCTTTGAGGACAATTGAGTTTTATACATACAAACATTACCTGTAACATTTAATTGCAATTTCTCTTTTTATATTTCCATGTTGTATTAAAACGACCAGTCCTCAGATGTGAAGGATTTTTTCCATGATGGTAAACTGAATATCTTTGGGTTTCGGACTGAAGATCTCATCATGGGGTCTGGGAACTTTTTGCTGGAATTTCTTTGACAAAGACTTAATCAAGAAAATAATCTGCAAATTAATTAAGATGGAAAAAATCAAAAGTTGGAGCCATGGTTGTCAGTATCAAACAATTTTAGTCAGAATGTTTATTGTGCCTTAATAAGAATAAAGATATTCTTTTAAAACATTGGGAACAATAATCATTAATTTCACTGAATTAGCAGTATTAATTCTTTCCATTCTCAGGTTTAACACTAGAATGAACACCAGGCAGGTTTACTGCGTTGTGTGTGGGATCAGGGTGACAGATTCGCTGTCACTGAAAACAAGCGAGCACCACAGAAATGTGGGAAGCTTTCCCAGCGCACCAAACTGTTCTCTCGGCAGAATGGAAAATCGTGCCGTCCTAGGACAGCCCAGGCAGACGTGGACCCTTCTGCAGCCCAGACTGCTCCGGTTTGTTTTCGATTTCATCACAGCGCGGCCTCACAGCGAGCAAACAAGCTCTTCCAATCAAACAGTGAATGACGGTTTGGCTGTGAGCCTCGCCTTCGCTGTCGTCCACACTTTTCCTCGCCACAGGCTCCACAAGGAAATGATTTCTGTCATCTTACCCTCTCCCACCCCCGCTTTTTAATCATGCCTCTTCCACTACTTCGTCTTTCCGCTTATTTCCTGCTCTTTTGTCAGACTCTGTTTAATTCGGCATGCACCTGTTGCATCTTCCTCCTCACTCCCCAATCTAAATGTTAATGTCACGGCTGCCCCCTAAACTCCCTCCCTGCAGAGCCTCCTTTTCAGCTGGTTTGCCTGTTTATATGGAATTGCTCTACGTATGCCGTTTGTTATTTGTTTCCTCGCTGAGTCAGTGTGTTATCAGCAGACGGGGCCTCCATTTGTGACCCCTTAGCAGGAAATAAACAGAGAGACTTTCAGGGACATTGTCTGCGAGTCCATCAGTGTTGTTTTTGTCCTTTTTATCCATCCATGTGCGTAGCTACTAATCTATCATTATGGAGCTAACAGAGTAGATAAAATGTTTTATCAGCGGCTGAAGTTTCTGCCTAGTTCTCCACACTTTGTTCTGCTTTTTTAGCCCATAAAACACACACTTTGTCTTCCTCAGTCTGTTTCTCTCTCCCCTCCCTTCTCCCGGCTCTCTCTCAGCTGTGGTTTGAGAGGGAAAAAAAAACACAGACAGTGCACACATTGCTAAATTGCTTACAGGACACTGTTTGTCGGCAGGGCACAATGCACACATGATATCAGAGGCTGTTCAGTAAAACCTCCCCAGAGGGATCCTTGTTTTCCCAGACTACAGATTAGAAACCACATTCTTGAAACCAGCAGCAGCTTCATCGGGCTTCATGCTACTCGGAAGATAGTATTCTGTTTTAATTGCGTCGTCACAGGTTACTTTGATCCACATTAAAAAGCAAAAACGTCAGACTTTGCATGCAGCAATCAAGAAATCTCTGCTTACTAGCAACCAGCTGATTGTCTTAACATGTTGGATTCTTAGAAACAAATAACTTATTTTACTGTAAATTCTCAAAACAAAGGGCAGGAATTAAAGGCTGAGAGGACAAAAAGTAAATTAGCAGTGTCTGTCCAATAATTGCTGTCACAGTATATACTGCATTTTGTAAATTTAGCATTATTTCACCCCAAATTTGCCAGTAAAGCAGGTGCAAGGGAAGTTAGAGGTAAACCAGTAAAAAGGGGAACAGAAGTTTTTAGTAGCCGGTTTAAAATATGCTATTTGATCATTTATGGAATGTTCCTTTAATGACAGTCTGCACTGAGATTCTGGTCCAATTTTAGTCAAAGCCAATGACTTCAAGTTTATTGGAGCTGACTGTGAAAATGCTTTGCGTGTGGATGACTGTCAACTTTGTGTCAGCGCAGGCTTTAACACTTCCTGCCGTACCCTGCTCTACCTCTAACAACATCTCAGTGTGACTGAAGCAGCTGTTGAAGCTATTTTTTTTCTTGTTGTAGCCATGTCTGGACTGACCGTGACTAGACCTCCGTCCCACTGTTTCCCTGCTGTTTTAGCTTTTTTTAAACTTGCTTGTCTCTTTTTCCACCTCCCTCCACAGCTTGGCCTCTCAATCCAACTTGCTCTTTGGCAGGGAGGAGGGCCTCTGCTGGTACTGTACTCTCTACACTTCAGCCACACAGCTACAGCACACCGCTTTCCCAAAATATCTGCTGCACGAAGGAACCGCAGCACAGTTTCAACAAAACTTGAACTGCAAAGTTTGCTACTGAAATGAAGAGATGTTTAAAAATAAAAGATGAAACAGGCCAACACAAAAAATGTACATGTAATTAGGCATACATTGAAAGATAGAACTAAATATGTTAAAGTGAAGCGTATGACTTAAATTACAAATTTAAGGTATCAAAGGTTTTGAAGTGTTTCCAAGTTTCCAACACTGTTCCAAGTGGAACAGTGGCTGTTAAATGACATCTACACGCCATACAATGCCATGTATTACATATACACAAACATACATACATACATACAGGATCCTACATCTCCCTACTTCAGTAAATGTGTCTGATTTGAATATAATTAAGAAACAGGTGATTTGCAGCGTCCTCTGAAAAGCAGAGCATTTTGGGAAACATGGCTGTATCTCATCACACCGCACTGTAACCAAGTGTCTGCTTCTGGCTGTGCTCGCTATGCTGTTGGCGCTCAGGAGTAGCCTGCCGCTCTCGCCTTCATCACTGTCGCCGGCCCGCTGACTCTGCCGTTTTCACTCGCCATAGCAACGGCACCCCAGTGGCACCGCCATCCATCTACCTGCGCCGGCCTGAGCCCCGACGCGCACGTTTGATGAAGTGGGCATGGCAAAAGACGGAGTGAGCCTTTCCACAGCAGAGGGACTGGTGTGTGTGTGTGTGTGTGTGTGTGTGTGTGTGTGTGAGAGAGAGAGAGTATAGGAGGGAAGCAGCATTTGTATGTAAGACACCAAGAGTGCACGAGTGTAAGTGTGTCAGAAATGGAGCAAGGCAGGGAGCACATTTAAGTGCTGCAGACCCAAGATCGCCTGAAGGACTATCTTAAATCCCCCTCTCTGTCTGCCAGTAATTGAGGGAATATTAGAGATACGGTGCTGCAGATGGCTCATGATATGACATATTAGAACACACCCGAGGGGCGAAACGCAGTAATTGGGAGCTTCAAATTCTGATAGACTGTGTCAAGCCGGGGGAGAGAGAGAAAACGAGCACTATCCGAAAAATCCTGTCGACACCGTCAAAGAAGCGAGCCACGGTGCAGCGTCAACAGCCGGTGTCAGCCTCAGTGACAGGTTCGACTCAGCCTCCAGCCAGCGGAGGAGGCGGGGGTGGAGGCTGAGTGTGAGGGCGGAGGGGCTGATCAAAGAGTCGAGGCAGGTAGAAGCACAGACACTGACATAGATGTAAGCTCTTCATTTTGGCATATGACTTTGTCCCGAGCATCTTAAGGCACATGCACAGAAATCACGTTTAGAGCAGCTTAATTAAAGGTTGGAGTGTGTTCTCACAGGCCCATGAAGATAGGAGATATAGGACTAGAACATCCCTCAAGTGTAAACGCTGGTGCTGGCTGAATAAATCCATGTCATACAGACAGCTATCCTGCAAAAAAAGTTGTACTTGGCCACGACACAACGCGATGTCATCCACCAATGCACTACTTTGGCCAATCAAATACATGAAAGCACACATTCCTGCTAGATTATTTGTCACATGAACAAAATAATTCTACTGCTTGGGACCCTCAAGACAGAGGAAAATCATTTTTTGTGTTGTGACAAGTTTATGTTCCTAATGGTGTAAATCTCTGTGCGGCATCTGTAAAATCCTGATAACTGATGGATGTATTACTCACACTGTCATATTTCACCGGTATCTGTAGTCACATGCTCACACAAACGCAGGCGTTCTTTGAGCACGGTGCTATTTTTGGTCTGAACCCTGTCAACAGGTGGAACATAGTCACTCTTGATTGAATCTCCTGGAACAATCGCATGGTTCTGGTTGTGATGAACTGCAATACTCAGTCTGAAAGACAGAATCACAAACATACAGTGGGTACGGAAAGTATTCAGACCCCTTTAAATTTTTCACTCTTTGTTTCATTGCAGCCATTTTCCAAAAATCAAAAAAGTTCATTTTATTTCTCAGTAATGTACACTCAGCACCCCATCTTGACAGAAAAAAACAGAAATGTAGAAATGTTTGCAAATTTATTAAAAAAGAAAAACTGAAATATCACATGGTCATAAGTATTCAGACCCTTTGCTCAGTATTTAGTAGAAGCACCCTTTTGATCTAATACAGCCATGAGTCGTTTTGGGAAAGATGCAACAAGTTTTTCACATCTGGATTTGGGTATCCTCTGCCATTCCTCCTTGCAGATCCTCTCCAGTTCTGTCAGGTTGGATAGTAAACGTTGGTGGACAGCCATTTTCAGGTCTCTCCAGAGATGCTCAATTGGGTTTAAGTCGGGGCTCTGGCTGGGCCATTCAAGAACAGCCACGGAGTTGTTGTGAAGCCACTCCTTCGTTATTTTAGCGGTGTGCTTAGGGTCATTGTCTTGTTGGAAGGTAAACCTTCGGCCCAGTCTGAGGTCCAGAGCACTCTGGAAAAGGTTTTCGTCCAGGATATCCCTGTACTTGGCCGCATTCATCTTTCCCTCGATTGCAACCAGTCGTCCTGTCCCTGCAGCTGAAAAACACCCCCACAGCATGATGCTGCCACCACCATGCTTCACTGTTGAGACTGTACTGGACAGGTGATGAGCAGTGCCTGGTTTTCTCCACACATACCGCTTAGAATTAAGGCCAAAAAGTTCTATCTTGGTCTCATCAGACCAGAGGATCTTATTTATCACCATCTTGGAGTCCTTCAGGTGTTTTCATGTGTCTTGCACTGAGGAGAGGCTTCCGTCGGGCCACTCTGCCATAAAGCCCCGACTGGTGGATTGCTGCAGTGATGGTTGACTTACTACAACTTTCTCCCATCTCCCGACTGCATCTCTGGAGCTCAGCCACAGTGACCTTTGGGTTCTTCTTTACCTCTCTCACCAAGGCTCTTCTCCCTCGATAGCTCAGTTTGGCCGGACGGCCAGCTCTAGGAAGGGTTCTGGTCGTCCCAAACGTCTTCCATTTGAGGATTATGGAGGCCACTGTGCTCTTAGGAACCTTAAGTGCAGCAGAAATTTTTTTGTAACCTTGGCCAGATCTGTGCCTTGCCACAATTCTGTCTCTGAGCTCTTCAGGCAGTTCCTTTGACCTCATGATTCTCATTTGCTCTGACATGCACTGTGAGCTGTAAGGTCTTATATAGACAGGTGTGTGGCTTTCCTAATCAAGTCCAATCAGTATAATCAAACACAGCTGGACTCAAATGAAGGCGTAGAACCATCTCAAGGATGATCAGAAGAAATAGACAGCACCTGAGTTAAATATGAGTGTCACGGCAAAGGGTCTGAATACTTCTGACCATGTGATATTTCAGTTTTTCTTTTTTAATAAATTTGCAAAAATTTCTACATTTCTGTTTTTTTCTGTCAAGATGGGGTGCTGAGTGTACATTACTGAGAAATAAAATGAACTTTTTTTGATTTTTGGAAAATGGCTGCAATGAAACAAAGAGTGAAAAATTTAAAGGGGTCTGAATACTTTCCGTACCCACTGTATGTAAAGAGCAGCATCCAACATTTGGGTCATGAAACGCAGGCAACAGACTTTTGAAGGATTCGTCTTTTATTATTATCAGATCCACATTGCCTCAGACTGGGCTCCTCATCTTCAAGAGGAAAGCAGAGGAATCATTAACTCTCATGTGTTTATTTTTATATTCAGGTTAGCTAGCTAATACTAATTTGACAGCTCCACAGTTTTGTCAAACAGTGATTTGGATTTTCTTGAATCCTTAGACTTCTTAATTGCTCTGTTAAAAGCAGCAGAATTGGGGGTTTCTTGGTTTTAAGCATCAGAAAAAAGTGTCCTGTCTAATGACAACCTTAGGTGTTTTATTTGAGTTGTTGAGAATAATAGCATTAAAACTCCAACCACATATTGACACAGTTGCCTAAGTTGCTTCCACTGGAGCTGTCGTGCCGTTTGTTAGGAGACATAATCCAAACCAACGATTAGAAAGAACCCACAAATGGAAAGGGTTATGAAAAGGCAGGAGTAGACAGATGTTGATATGTGATAGCCAGCAGTTTGCCTGCGCTCTGGACTGATGCTGCGCTGATCTGTTATGGAATTAGCATCAGAGAAGGTAACTTGCAGCAAAGGGGTGTGCTCTTACAAGGAATGCTTCAAAAACCTCACACCTTGCAGGTTGAAAGTTTCCAATGATCTCGTATGACTTATTTTACAAGCTCCTATTTGCTTGTAATTGCGCAATGTGAACTTTAACAAATCCAAATTGCAAGGATGTTTGGGCTGCATGGCTTATGGATTTTGCTTTTATGTGGCCTATGTAGTCCTACTTGTTTTGTGTGTCCTTGTTCTCCATGTGCGGAAGTGCACCCAAGCCTACCTTTGCCTGGTTTGTAGCATTGCCGCAGAGTGTCTCGGGTGTTTGTCTTTGAAAATGGCTAGCTTATCCTTGTTTATGTTTATCTGTATATGGTGATGCATTCATTTGACAGTGACCATTCCTTGAATTTTTTGCAATATTGGCTGACCTCTGTTTCATCCCTGCAAACTGTTGTCTAATGAAGGTCTGCTCTCGTGTAATGTTCAAGGATAATACAGGTAGTTGTATAATGATGCTCCTGATACTGTCGGTAGTCACTCTTTTTGTTTCTCTTTCTATCCTTCCCCACCTCTCCAGGCCGATGGGCCAGATACCTCAGGGCGCCGCACTGACAGTCAACACAAACCCCAACATCAACATCAAGTCCGAACCTGTCTCACCAAACCGCGACCGCAGCACTCCCAGCTCCACCTGTGGCTCCGGGGGAGGTGGAGGAGGCCAGGGTCAAGTCCAGGGACAAGGTCTCGTAACGGTCGCCTACCCTGGTACCCTGCGCCTGGAAGTGGGAGGTCAGGGCCGCTCACCAGTCGACAGCCTCAGCAGCAACGGCAGCTCGTATGAGGGCAGCGACCGGGACGACGGCAACCAGGGACGAGGCGGGGGTCAGGACTTCCACCACCAAGTCAGCGCTGGTGCCCAGCAGCCCACCATGGTCCTCCTGCGGCCCTCTTCGGCCGAGCCCCAGGAGCAGGACGGGACCAACGTCAAGAGAATGAGACTGGATACCTGGGTCACATGAAGAGATGATCTGAGATGGATGGACGGACAGAAGGAGGATGTAGATGGAGATGTGTACTTGTGGCTTGTGTAGATGCCCCCACCAGCCCCGATGACCCCAATCTCCTTCCCCATGCATATACACACACACTTACATATATACTGTATGTATGTGTGTGTGTGTGTGTGTGTGTGTGTGTGTGTGTGTATATACACACACACACCTGCCATCGACCCAGTAAGCTACTGTCCACACAGGAAACGCTGACCTCACACAAGCATGCTAACACACTCTCATGTCGCACGTATAGACACACACTTGTATGTGCTCACACATTTGAACTCTAATGTACTTTCACTCTCACACACAGACAGAACCCCAAGGGGGTTGGGCCACCAAACCAGGGATTATTTGTCAAAACAACTACAATGTTGGACTTTGTTCAGCTGTATTTGAATAGAAGTGAATGAGTATGTTTTTAATCAGGCTACAGGGGCTAGTAAAACCCTAAATTTGGCCGCTCGGACTATTTCACCAGATATGTTGACAGCCACTGGCAGAGCAGACATATGTACCAGCTGTGGTTTCCCAGCATGCCCTGCGTTGGGTTAGCGGCTGGTGGTATTCTCCCACCCTCATGTCCTTATTGTCTGTTTTTCCATAGTAGGTTTTGGTCAAACACAACTGCACTGCTTTAAGTCAGTGCCACCAAGTGAGTCCACATCTTTGTACACGTCGGCCCGACCACACTTGTATTGCTATATAGCTCTAGATTCTTGTTTCTTGTCTTAGAGCCTGGGCCATTTTGCTCTTTTTAAAGCGTGGAATTTTGTCCTTCTGTCTTGACTATTGATCTTTAGAGTTTGGATTCGTTTCAGTTTTGAATATGAGGACACTAAAAGAAAAACTCGCCTCCCTCCCCAGCCGGTGGCCGTGTCAACAGGCTGGCACTTTGGCCCTGTACAAGACTGACGACCCCGGGGTCTTTATTTAATCTGAACCATGCAGACTAGCTGTAAAACGAGGAACATGATTTGTTACCGAGGTAAAAGACTGCTTTTCTTTGAATCAGGGACGAGCTGCAACAGCTCAATGACACATGACGAAGATTCTCCCAGTTCCGCCCACATCTTGTCAACTACAGATGCTGAGAAAGGCGTGTGTGTTTGTGTGTGTATGTGTGTATACGGGTTTGTTACCTCAACTGGTTGTTTTTTAACAAAGTGATTTGGACAAATGCTCAATTTCATCCTTGAACACACCTGCAGTGCACACAGGTGAAATTATTTTTGTGAAGCGACTCATGTTTTGAATAGATACCTTGATGTTCAAAGGGGAGATTCGTGAGGTACCATGTATATAAGCAATCTGTAACCTTTGTGGCTTTTGTGTGACAGGGATATGGTGTTTTGAAGGTTCAAAAAATAGATCATACAAGTATATATTTAAACAGCTTCAGGCGATAGCAAGGGCAGCTCTGCACCGGGGCAGGAGACTACAATAGATGACAGGGATTGTATATATTAACTATATATTCGGCAGGATATCCCTTAACGAAACAGAAAAAAAGCAAACACATTAATTCTCAGTGGATCGGTCTCTTTTTTTAAAAATTATTATTTATGCTTGTATATAAAGTGTAATATGTTGACTAGCCAAGAGAGGGTGCTGTAGAGGCAGAAAGGGAAGATGTAGCCGTGGTGACTCGGACTGTTTGGACTGGAGTGAGCAATGGTTAGGACTCTGTCACTGATGGAGGGCACTTTACCTTAACCCCCACCCCTGACACCTTAACACATCTGACCCATGGACACAGATACTGCACATGCACACTAGGGTTAGACTGATATACCTGGCTGGTTATAAGGCTTCTGTTAAAAATCTGATATTCAGCAGATACAAATACATTTGTGCACTATTTATTAAATTCTTTAAATTCTGTTTTGTTGTAGTTTAATTTAAATAATGTATTACTGTACATGAACCGATCAGAGCTCACCTTACAACTCTTTATTGTGGCACAGTGGCTGCCTGCCAGAAATTAATTGATCACAGAACAGAAACTGTAAACATTAAAGCATAAGAGAAACAAAGTATAATTTTTATATATTTTTTAATTTATATTCAAAAATGAATGAATAATGGTAATAATTGGCCTACAGTATAAGCTACTAAAAACATTTTAGAAGGAGTATCGCTGAACATTTATCATTCTGTGTGCATTTTTAGTTTAGTGTCCGGTGATGGTTTAAATTACCCTCTAAAAGGTTTCTCCACCTTTAAAGTTTTTGCAGATATAATCACTACTTATTAAGTATTTTTTTTGGCATATCCGTGTATTGAGTATTTACAGCGTCAGTACAAAAATGCCAGTATTATCTGTCACAAACATATCAGTCAAACTCTAGAGCAAACATACAGATAGTATACAGATAAGTGAGCCAAGGATGTCCCCTGTCCTCTTTTTTTGTTTTATAGGTTTAACTTTTCCTCCTGTTAAAAGCCATGTATGTATATTTAAAGGATCTCTCCTTTCGCCTGTCACTGGTTGGCTGTAGTTTTATATTGCGGAGAGGTAAAAAGACTTATGAAGGTAGAAGGAATGTGAAGGATGTCATTTTTGTATTCTATAAAATTGGCGAGAGTGATTTCGGGTTTAGTGGGTAGATTTTAGAGACATAGTGGTCAAGAGTGCAAATTCATGTATTTATTTTTTCCTAAAAGCACTCTCAGCCTCCGTCCATTTGCTTGTTAAAAGCTTTGGAGGCAGAGTTTGAGTATCGTTTGTCGTTAAGCCGGAGGTTTCAGAACGAGTCTTGATCTTTTAATGACTACCTCCCAAATCCAGCGCAGACTTGTCAACTTTTTACCACATTCAGCGACCACATCCGTCTCATGGGCAGGCCCTCCTCACCTCCATCTCACCCCTGTCACTCACTCGCTCACTCAGTATGTTTGTTTTGCTCTCTGAAAGCTTAATCTCAAACCCCCCCAACCCCCACACACACACTTTCCATTACACACTACTTTTCTGTTTACTCCGTCCAGACAGCGAGTGTCAGCACTGAAATGACAAATTAGTTTGGGGTCTTTTTCCATGGGTAACACAACCCCCGCCCCCCCAACCCCCAGCCTCATCACACACTACTCCCATCATCCTCCCCTCACTTCATCTCCTTCTGTCACTCATTCACACGCACTCATCCGCTCTGTGACAAGTCTTGAGTGTCAATATTGCTTTTCTGAGCGTGTGGCAGAGTGAACATAAATCCCCTGAGTGTAAACACTTTGACTGTTAAGACTGTTGTACCCTGAGCTTCGAACAAAAAAAAACCCTGCGTATAAGTCCGCAAGCCATAGCTTTGTAAAAATAAACAAAATGGCATCCTTTGCGTCGGGACTCGCAGGAGTTTTGTTAGTCACTGGTCGCATGAAGCCCTGGCGTGTTCTTTAGAGCAACACTAGGGGTCGCTGAAATCACAAAACAGAAAGACAATCGTGCTGAGAAATAATTTTAAGAACCTGCATCCCCCCGATAAAATGATACTTGCTCCTGTATAATGATGTTTAGAAGTCTCACTCACTTTCCAGTGTTAATTTGTGCTGGTGACAGTCTGTTTTTAATTGTTCTCTGAGAATTGATATTATTATTATTATTATCATCATTACGACAGCTTTCACTGACAGTAGCTGTTACGATGATATAGAAATCTGCGTTTATTTGTGTAGTTTAGGCATCTTGTTTTATTTGGAATTTGATTTTATTTTATTATATAAAAATATTCTATAAATATATTTTTGTTTTCTCTTTTGGGGATTTGTTTTCTTTTTTTTTTCTTCAAAAAGGGTATTACTAATGTTGCACGATTTTTGATGACATGAAACAACCAACACAAGCGTAGTGATATTAGTACACATGTGGCTGTGGACGGAGGCGCTGAACGAGTTGACTGCGACAAACCGCTTCAGTGCTGCAACTTTGAGTGTAATGTACAAAACTCTCGGTCCACACATGCTAACATGGGTGGGGTGGGGTGGGGGGGAGGGCAGCGTGACACGTCTAACTTATTTCTGACCAGACACAATGATGTCAATGCATGGGCGTTTAAAAACAAGCAAAGAGTGAATCATGTTATAGGAAATACAAATGTAATATCAACACAAATATACATCACACAGAAATACATTTAAGAAAAAAAAATGAAATTGAAGAAAAAAGTTTTAAATAAATTATAGCTAATATATTGTGTTCGGCTAGTCTGCTTTTTTGTTGTAAAGATAATTTTTTTGTTGTTTTTGGAGAATGATATACAATTTGTGTATATTTTCATAAAAAAAGTATGCACTGATATGTTATTACAAATTCTATACTGCTTTTACAAAAAAAGTGTTTGTTATTGTACCAAAGTATCCATTGGTCCCCTCTTACCCGCCTTCCCTTTTTGCGTATGTTTTACCGTATTTTATATATTAAATAGACAAGTTGACCTACAGAAAGGTTTTTGAGTTTGTGTCATTTTTTGTGCGTCTGTTTATGGCCTGCTGTTGGATGTGACAGCAGTATCATGTTGTCACCACTAGATGGCACTCTAATGTTTGGTATTGGTGCTGCAGGACACAAGCTGCAGTGGGTGCAGCTAATGGGTGAAGAAGTGTATATTTCCAAAATGTGATTTGTATTTTTTTTTTTTTCTTAACAAGTGTGTGATAAAGTATTTGCTATCTGATTAGTTTCTGAAAAGCTTGTGCTAAGCAAGGTGGAAAAATGTTCTCAAACCATAACCCTTCATTTTAAGATGATCATCTTATCATTACTTCAAATGCCAATGTAATTTGCATATATTAAATATTTCAAGACTAACTTTACACTGAATTTTTCTACGTCAAGTCACACTTAAATTTGTGAGAAGTAAGAGAAATTAGATTTTAAATTGAGACCAAATAACAACCCATTCAAAGTCTCCAGTGAACATATTCTTATATATTGCAAAGAGTATGGTCTGGACCTAAAGTGCAACAAGATAACTTTTGTTATGAATCGGTGCTATATAAATAAAATTAAACTGAATTGAAAATTAAATTGAATTGTGATTACACAACTTTTCAATATAACAAACTTGTACTCTTGAGATAAGAAAACAGTTGGACTTATCTCAACATAACAAGCAATCATTCCTTCACCTCAATATAAAGTGTAAAGACAATGATCATTTAGTAATAATGGGTAAACACAGAAGTAACCGCTAAGAATAATTCTTTTGTGATCACAGGAAAATCATTCAGAGAATGGTTAAAGGCAACCAGTGAGTGAGCAGTAACAAAATTTAATCAATAATAATAAAATAAAAAAGATGTACTGAGAATATTTGTGAATATTTAATGTACTTAGTTACTTTCCAGCATTGCTGTATTAAAGCTTAATTTAATGATAGTTACTAGTACTACAAAGCATTGTTATGCAGAAAAAACCCAAACCCAACGCTATGAAGAATTGTTTAAATTAGCCCTGCCACAACCATTTTTTTACATTGTAGTTTTGCCACTTCCATAAAGCTGGATTAATCAGTATTTTTATATTAACAATCAATCAAATGACTGCATTATCTCCCGACTATGCGGTTCCCCTTAGCTCCCTGTTTCAGCCCTTTTTTTTGGTTCTGTCTCAGTGCTCTCAGCCAAAGCAGACAGACGCAGCAACTAGTTGGGGAATAAAGTGGAACATTTAGCAGCTAAAGAGCCAGATATCTTTCTCAGGATTTGGTGGAGACCAAAAACTGTACATACGTTTATCAAGTGGACACAAACTTGACAACATAAACAGGGCTGGACTGGGACAAAAAGTCGGCCCTGGCATTTTTTCCCTAGGTGGCCCACCCCTCGGCAATAACCTACACTATCGATCCATTTAGGGGGTCAGATTAGGGGTGTGATGAAACACTGGGACATGTCATTTGCCTACTATTTAGAAAAAATATTAATAGATGAAATTTTCAATAAGGGAGTCTGGGGGGCCTCCCCCAGAAGATTTTGAGCATTAAACACTTTCCTGCATTCTGGAGACATTTTCTGCACCAATATATGGTGGAAAGGTCTTTATTCTTATAAAGGGAAGAACCAAATTCAGGTGGCAAGTGACAATTCACAAAATAAAAATATAATAAAATATAATACAGTAATCAGTAGCTTATTATTTTTTGCTTAAGTTACTTTTTTTGGACGAGGTTTCCTTTATATTTACATTGCACTGCAGGTTTTTTATTATTATTGTGCAAATAAACCTTTCTCATAGCATTTTATTTGTTAATCAACATTTCTTGGTACAAGCTATTTTTCAGAACATTTTTAACAGATACTTTCAAAAAGTGGTGGCTACATGTCCCCAGAGTCCCCGGTGTGAATGACCCTCCCTCCCTGACCCCACCATACAGGTTGAGCTACATGCTTCACCTCCTGCTCTCTCTCTCACTGGGCCCTGTCACTTTGTCCCTCTGCTTCGCTAACACAGCCTCCTCTTCTGCCTGGCAGGGGCCACGGCTAAGGGCTGATTTTTGTATCAGTACAGACTGAATTTGAATAATTTAGAACTGAATATGAATTGCTCAACCTGAATATGAATTTATTAGTTTGAAACCGAATTCCAATAAACTTGAAACTGAATGTGATATTATGAATCTAAACTGAAACTGTATTTGAGCCTCACTAAAAATTCAAGTCTTTGTGTGCTTTCACTTGCAATGCAGTTTTCTAAATTCAATTTCAGTCCACAAGCTTCAGTTTTAAGGTCACAGGCAGGTCAAGGTCCTTGAGGAAGAGCAATCGAGTGCAGATGCACAGAGGGCTTTTTCGGGTTTATTTTTGACCATTTCCTGTATAAGTTATCTCCTAAAGCCCACACTAGAGGTTAAGTAACTACTAGTTTAATTACTTGGGCAGACCTTCACTAGATTAACTTGGGCATAAGTCGTAACTATGGAAAGTGGCCGTGTGCATTAGCTTTCTGGATAGGTAGCCACTTGGCATCTTAGCACATCATAATAAGTTAGATCGATATTGAAATATCGTATCAATAAATTCGGTCTTTACTGGATTAATGTTACCGTGTAACAAAATTACATGCAGTTAAAGAAATGTTCTGCTGAGGGGCAGAAAAATGGCAGTTTTACCATTAGTGAGTTTAATGCTGTGACAGCTCTACACCTAGCCTGTGTGGCCTGAGCAATGTTAACTCTTAGATTTTATATAAGTTAGAGTTATGTTGTAAATTATCTCTGTGGTGCAACTGTTTTTATTTCAGTAATGAATAAATCACATTAGTAAAAATTTACACTAGGCTTATAAGTAGGCAAAGTTTAAACACACAGCTGCTGTAACAGGCTGCTCAGCAACTTGTCTGTAAGTTACTGAAGTTACTAACCATTTCACAAAGAGGACCAGTGACATAACAAACCGGGATTCACTTCAGGACTGAAGGACAGGGATGAGTTGAAGCCGACCTCAAACTTGGAACATGTAAGTTGTGGACTTTATATACAGTATGTTAACCCGGTGAACTTGCCGCTAGCATGCTGTGTTGCTAATGTGGCTAGAGTCTGTTCCACACTGAGCAGTGTTGGAGAAACGTCATTTCATACTGAGAGACAGTCTGGAGGAATTGTGTGAACGTTAAGCCCTGTATGAAGTAAATTAAATAAACACAGCAGTAGGTGTGGTAAGTTGCTTTAGTGGAATTTTACTGCAAAGCTAACATTAGCTCCTTTTTAACATTAGCTTTTTTAATGTAAGTATTCAAGTTGAGCAATTCAAATTCAGTTCTAAATGATTCAAATTCATTCTGTACTAGGGGTGTGGAAAATAATTAATTTTAAGATGCATTGTGATGCAGACTTGGACGATTATGAATCGATTCACAAATGACAATAATCGATTATCTAGAGGTTAACTTATAACATAATGTTGACGGAACGAAAAAGGCGGGAACTCGGAAATGCGGAAGTGCAGCTCTGGACCGTTTAAACGGTGGACACAATGGAGACGTGTGGTTCTCCCTGTTTGGCACAGACAGACAACTGTTGATGATCACCCGCACACTCTGCAGCACTTAGCTAGTGTCCTCTCGTCATTCTTCAAAGGACAGCTTACGTGACGATGAAAGCAGCGGAGCAGAGGAAAAGATGAGCGCTACGTTGCAGTCTGGCCGTAAATGTACAGTGTAACGTTAAGTCACAGCGTGTCCCTTAATTAAAGTCTGTCTGTTGTTTTCCAACTGCTGGAAAAGTGAAGGCAGTGAGCGCTGGCTAACATGTCCTCTTCAGACTGCAGACTGCGGTCTGAAAGCTGGGCAGGACGCTTTTTTTGCTGCTAGTTCTATTTCATTTGTTGTCATTCATCCACACAATGAACCAAATGCCGTTCCTAAGGCCCATGGTGCTCAATACAAGATCACAATAATCAACTTACAAAACACACATGTAACTACACGAGACGAGATTATTGTTGGCATGATATTTTGTTTGGAAATATTTATATTAGTATTTTGGACACTGGGTGGCAGTGATTAGATGCACGTGGTTGTATATAGAGGGCATAGGTGACAGGAAGTGGTGGGCACAGGTAGGGGGAGCACAAACATGGAATGGAAACAAAGCTAAAGGTAAAGCAAGGAAAAATTGCCATTACAATAAGTGAGAACTGAGCTCTATGAGTGAAATTTGAGCCTGTAAAAGTATTGGAACTGGATAAAGATTGTTTTCACTAAAGAACCGATTGTTTTTCTTTCATTAAACTGGAGGCCGCCATTCCCAATCAACGGAACATTGACGCCACCTGTGCGGAGCTGATTGACAGAGATTGGAAACTCGCAGGCGGAGGGGTATGTGCAACATTAAGCTTTATTGGAAAAGCAATGAAACAGTGTTTGGAAACCACTACACTACTGGATTTTGCTGAATGAAGTCTATACTGTCACAACAAGTTCAGCTGTTTGAAACATTCTGCCATCAGCGTGTGGTTTACTGGATCATGCTAAAAGTGAAACAAAAATATTGTCTATTGTCAAGTCTGACGTTCGGTCAGAAGATGGCGATGTTGCACTGGATTCTGAAAAAGAAAAAAGGGTTATTAAACACACTGCTAAAGGTTTGGAAATGTTCATTGAAAACTGTCAGAAAATAAGAAACTAAGAAGCTAAGAAGTCAATGCAAATGCTGAAAGAGCTCATGAAATCAAAGGAGAATGCAAATGAAGTGCAATCTAACTTGGTTAAATTAATAAACATCTGTGATGAAGCCAAAGGAAATCATGAGTCATTGGTGAAGTTACCGCTGCCTGAAAATGAACTTGAAAAGCAAAATCACTGGTTTCAAAGCTTTTGATGGTTTTATACAGGATGTAAATGTGTGGTTTTCAGAGGGTGGATTGCATAAAACACACCATTGCTGAAAGTGCAAACAAAGATGACATTGGACCGGATGACAGTGTTTCTAATGTGTCAAAACCTA